TCCAGTCCAACTTTATATTACATACCATATTTGCAACCACCACCTCACCCTTTACCCAAACAGCAACTGAATGTGGGGGCAGCTTGGTCGAATGGTAGCACATTGGCTCCTAGTGCTAGCCCGGTTCGGATCTCAATTAGCAGCACTTAATGTGAGTGTAGGAAGTCTTCAGAGTCCACCCAGCTCTTAAGAGAAAGTAAAGGCAGCCGGGCATAAAGCTTACCACATCAACCCTTCATACGCCCTAGTCAAGAAACAAATGAACTCAATGTCATCTTCCCAATTGATCGATAGACATGACGAACTGTACTCGATGTTTTAGTTCCTTCAAAACTGTTCAAATCCTTGTAAAACCTTTTACAAATAATAATAGAAGTATATGGATTCTATGCCACTGCACCACATTACAAAAATACTCCCATCAACCTGATTAGAGCTGAAATCTGGAAATTGACACTTATTCTAACTTGTAGTTATAAACATTCCAAATCTTGTTCGTAATGTAACATGGAGGTTAAACTAAGATTTTAAGTGACTTATTTGTGCACACTGTGGCTATTTTTTTTTAAATTGTATGTTTGCAACATTGGTATAAGTAGTAACTCTTGTGACAGTCATTAATAAAATATTGCTTGCACAAATGATAAAATGTTTCTAAAGAAACATCAGTTCTAGATGAAGGAATACTATATGTAAAATTGTTAATGTAAGAATTTTCTCAGATTGACACCTTAAACCATTTTAAAAACCAAACACACAAAAGCCATAATATAAACAATTTTTATTCTGTCATTTAGTCTGGCTTCAAATTTCAGTTTAAAAATGTGTCAACTGTATAAACAAATATACAGCAATGAGTCAACTGATATCCAAAATAAAGCCATTTACACATAACCAACTCCCACCCATACAACTAAGCTGTGTACTCATCAAAAAAACTTTTGACATACGCTTGGCTACAGGACAGTTCACAAAAATCTTTTAAATAGAATCCAATTAAATAAAAGACTAATAAAAACACTAAATATAAATTAAATGTTACACAAGTTTGCAGAATATCCTATTAATACTTAAGTGCATTGTCAAGACATTACATATATAAAAGTATCAGTCAAGAACATCTAATACTTTTGTACAACAAATCTTTAACAGCACTTATGTAACAAATCAACATCATACTACTTTGAAACACTAACAACTGTTTTTGGTATGACTACAGCAACTGCAAATATACAATCACCTTTTCTCCCTTGTTCTTATCTGGGAACTAAGTAAAAATTTGAGTGATAATGTCTCTAGGAATTGTACTGTCATTAATTCAAACCCAGTTTGCGTTTCAGTGATTCTGGCATTTCAGGTGGTGGTGGGCGTGGCAGACGGAAGTACACCTTAACTGAGTCGTAGATGAACCACTGCAATGCTGTGAGTGTACCAATCATAATAATCCTGGGGAAGAGTCCCTTCCACATACCTGCAGGAATGAAAATATAATACATTCATTTTAATACATGGAAATTTTTTATTATCAAGGAAATGCAAATCAAATGGGCTAAGAAAATAAAAATTGAGTTTTTTTCAAAAGAAAAAAAACATTTCATACCAAGAAGTCCTAGAGATTTGGCAACATCAACAAAGTTGCTGCCCTTTGCCTGGTTCAGCTTGGACACAATAGTATCCGCAGGGTGTGATACAATAGCACAGAACACACCGGCTGAAAAAGATTTAGTTCACTGAGTTAATACTTCATTCTGATGAATCTCTGATGTATCAACTTAAATGCTTAGATTTCTAAAGGGGTCATAGAAATCTGTGAGAAAAAAAAACATTTTGAGAACCTACCAATGTAGCCAGCAGCAAATGTGACAACCAGCTGTTCACCCTTGGTACATTCTGCCCTGGGTTTGGGAACCACAAACTTGTACAGAGCTTCCACAGTGCGTTCAAAGCAAGCAAACTTCATCATGGTGTAAGGAATTTGACGAGCCCACAGTGGCACAAGACCTTTGTAGAATCTTTAAAAAAAAAGATTGTTTAAACCAGTGGTTCCCAACCTTTTTCGAGTGGCGACCCCCTTTTATAAAAAGTAAGTGACCCGCGATCCCCATAGAATTAAAAAGCCGAAATTAGTATGGAAAGTAATAAGCACTAAAATAAGATTTTCTAGTAGACTTTCATTTTGAACTACTCTTGATAACTGTTTTAATAGCATGAGTAAAATTGCATACTATTCACTAAACCTGCGTGGTTAAGTTTTTAATTTTTAAAAAGTTTTGTTAACGCCAACCTATGTCATTATAATTATCTTAATTTTGTTTTTAATCGAAGAATAGTGTTGAAAATATATTCTCAAAAAGTCAATCAATTTTACGTTTGGGTATGAATGGTGAATACTACACCAAAATTGCGTCTGCAGTTTTTCATCTTACTCGGAATCATTCTGCAAATCAAAGAATTCATCTTGTAATTCATCGGGAATGCTGGCAACATCAAGGGAAGAAGAGAATGGGTAATGCGCAAATGCAGATTCTTCTTTTTTCAGCTCAGAGAAATAGCGATGCAGTTCGTTTTCAAGAGATTCAAGATGCCCCGAAATCGCTTCTTTCAAAATTTTAATTATCTCACAATCAGATTCTTCTACCACACCGCAGAGTTTCTCAAATTTACAATATTTCCAAGATTTATTTTCTTTACCGATTTTGCAGCTTTGATAAAAATGCCCCGAGATTATCATGGAAAGTTATAATATTGTTCATTTTCCCTGAAGCTTCAGGTTAAGCTAATCTTGATGTTCGAACACATCTGCTAGGTATGATACTCTCTCCAAACACTCTATGTCGTTTTAAGTATACCAAACAGTCTTGTTTCCTTTGCACTTCCAAGAACAATTTGATTTCAGATTTCAATTCAAAAACACAATTTACAACATTTCGTTTGACAGCCAGCGTACTGTAGTGTAGAAGAGCAGAACCTCGTGATCTATATTAATGTTTTTGCTCAGTTCTTTGAAGGCTCCAGATTTTATATAATTTACGACTTATACTAGCAATGGACTCTTGATGTCGATTGGTTAGGGCAGTGGTTAAGGAGCTAAATGTTTTCTGTTTTCTGAAAGCCCGATTTTGAGCTAAACATAGAAGGCGCACCATCCGTACAAACCCCCACAGCCGGTCTAACCCATTTCAATCATCCTGTTTAAAAAAAACGTATTTATTTTCTCCATGCTATCTTCACAAAAGAGCAACTCTTCTTTGTTATCATCTGCATGAATATAGACACAGACCAGCAACTGCCAACACGAACTCACGTCTGTTGATTTATCAACTTGAAAAGCAAACAATGGTGAAAGCTTAATTTCAATAAAAATGTGTTATTTAACATTTACGTACATGCAGCGTTTGATGAGATTTTCTATTGGATTTTTTTTTTTTTGCTTGGCATTTTCTATCGCGACTTCATTTGATGCTTGCACTAATGCAGGTGAAAACTTCCTGTTCGATCAAGTCTCTGACGTTTACAACTAGCTTCTTACCGACGAAAGAATTCCATATATTTTTTGGTGTGTTCCGAATGACTCATCTCAAATGACGTTTTAGTTTTGAAGATTTCATAGATTCGTGACTGAGAACAACTTTGTACAGTGCGCCTATTACATTTCCAGTGATGTTAATGAAGCCGAATTTCAAAAATTCTTCTAAATATTTATGTTTTGTTTCAAATTACTAAGGTTTAGTATACCAGTTGGCGACCCCCCAGAAAGACCTTCGCGACCCCCAGGGGGGTCGCGACCCCCAGGTTGGGAACCCGTGGTTTAAACCAATTATTCATAAAATAGAACCAAAATAAACATTTGAAAACAACATATAGCCATAATATTGGCTAATCAGCATTTAGAAATTGAAATATCTGATCCAGATAAACTTTTCTACCTGCCTAAGAAAATTATACTTTCAGCAAACTTTCAAATCACAATATAAACAACTTCACAAGAACAGATATACACACCCAGAAACACCCTCATCCTTCATGATTCTAGGGAAGCCTTCTCTGAGGGTTGTGCTCCATCCAGGCTGAGTTTGAATACGAACTTTCACTGCCTCCATGGGGCAAAGAGCAATATCAGCAAAAAATTCAGCTGATGCACTAGCAGCCAGATACACGCTGGTACGCCACAGGTAGGCATTTTCCTGTATTAAAGTATTTTTTACATAAATTCAAGCTGACAAACAATTTTCAAGTCTTCTCAACTACTAACTTTTAACAGTAGAAATTACCTCTCCAAGTAAATCAGTATACAAAATCTTGAAGGCCTCATAAAATCCAAATTTGCAGATTCCCTGCATTGAGTAGCCAAAGAATGTTGGTGCCCAACCTTTAGCCAGAGCCCTTCCTCCTTCCTCAGCAATGGTGACTTTGAATCCTTTAACAATACCTCCATACTTGGCAGGGTTAACCTGAATTCGGCATTTCACCATGTCAAGAGGTACGACAGCTGTGTGGGTGATGCCACAACTGAGCAAGCCACCAAACCCACATAGGAGATAGTACTTGGAAGATCCGAACTCACAGCTGTAGTCTAAAATAATCAATGTAAAAACTTATAAACCATGGAAAACTAAAAAAAAATGTATTTTAACGATTGATTTTTAGTAACACTAATCTCTTGGGAAAACTTTAATGACAATAAATGATAATTGAAAGAGCAGATCACATCTGTTTGTTGAAATTATCACTACTTCAAAATAACCTTAGTTGGCAATTTTAGATACCCAGAGTTATGCTAGATGTTTAGGCCTAGTTATTTTTTTAATTTGGGGAAACGTTAAACTGCATGAGATCTTGATCAATTTTGAATTACGCTAATATAGAGTTGTTCATAAAGTTTACTAGATGCTTTTGAAAATGTAGGTCACTTCAATGATAGTGACACTACTGACAGCAAGGTTGATGACCTTTTTAACTTTTAGTTCTAATTCAATAAAACTGCTATACTGAGAAAGAGCTTAGAGAACATGTAAAGCAGTGGGAGATTTTTGCTCATAGGGCCCTGTACTCTTTTTTTTAATACCCTTACAATTTCAACAAACACTAGCTTAGTAGCTTACTGCTGCATTTCTTCCTTTTTAACAAAATTTAAAATATTAAAACATTTAGTCTACATCATAGGATTAAGTTATGTTTTGGTATTTGAAACTAATGTAGGCCTAAGATCTAAATTTTACATTTTTTATTTTTATAAGTGAGCAAAAATAAAATTGCATTTGAGGGCTGAGTTTGCCAACTGAGAGCAGATTGTAGCTGTTGCATTTAGTCTGGTTATTTTCAAGTCTAAATAATAAATATAATAAGACTAGAGTTATGTTTTATAGAAACGTAAATGGTGGTATCGGATTTTTTCAAACTTATAGTTATTAGTCTTTTCTAGTTAATAGCAAATACTGTTACCTTCCCCTGCAGCAGCAGAAATTGTTCTTGTTGGGTTGACATTACTTTCACATTGGGCTTTGGTAAAAAAGGGATTTCCGAATATATTGTTTCGGCACGCAGTTACCAGTGAGTTCGACATTCTTAACCTGAAATAAGAGCATTAATTAAATACATGTTGTGCAAGGATAAAGTACATGATATTCGATAAATGTCATAAATAATTCGAACATAAGAGTAATGCCCTACTTGACACCAATGCCCTTCCTTACCGGTGATGGCGAAGGTTCGTAGTGAACAGTTCACGTGGATACACAAAGCTCGCGAGATCTAGATCTAATCGGACATTAGTTTTCCAATTTCACAATTATTTTTTAAATAGTTCTAAACTTTCTGGCATTGAAATACAACATGTAACATACTAAAATAAATGACGTTTAGGCTAATTAAATATTCTATTTTTTTTGTAATTTATTTTAAATTATTTGAATAACTACGATCAGATCTTAGTTGAATCTATACTTCCCCTGTTAAAGTAAATTAATATACTATAATGTAAATGTCTAGCATTTGTGTGAAGCGCCATACAGGCCTATAAATAAAAACCGGGGAGGGGTGTTGTTCGGACTTATGTTTCGATGTGTGACTAGAGGGGAGCAGTGGTTAAAAAGTTACTCTGAGTTTAATTTTTTTAAATGTGCATTGTAATACAAATTAATTGTATCATTATACCTAATGATGACCAAATTCAAATAACATTTCAGACAGAAAGTTGTTTCAAAAATCAAAAGCTGTAAATGCAGTAGGTTTGTGCTTTAGTGTGACGTCATCTTCATAGTCTCTTTCAAGCACCTTTCGTAGGAGGACACTTCCCCCCCCCCCCCCCACCCGAAGAACTTACACCCCCCCCCCCCCCCGAGCGAATAGAACTTATATACAAAATATATACTTCAACCAGCCTCTCAAATACTTATCCCGGAAATTTAAGACTGCCCCATCCCAGGACAAAAAAATCTCAGCAAGAAACGCATTCGTCATCTTAGGTCTTACACAAGTGGTAGTACTTGTTGTGATAGTGGACGTAAAAATTGTTATGTAAAGACGAACTTTAGATGTAAATGAATGAAGAAACGACCCGCTAAATTTTGAATTTAGCCTATACTCCAAAATACATAACAAACTAAATTGCCTTTGAGAAAAAAAAATAACATTAATTTTTTACTTTACAATCTTAAATGTGGAGGGGTGTTCGCACATTAACCATGTTTGATGTTCGTGTGAGGGGTTCAGAAACTGTGATGTCAAACTTTTGAATTTTATAAGTTTAATTTTAACACTGTATTTTAGCGGTTATTTTTTTTTAAAGGCTATTTTTTAATCGATTTAAATTGACTAAAGTAATCTTGACCAAGCCCAGTTGATAACTTATAAATAAATTGTAACTAGAAATATTTAATATATGTAAACATATAGTATATCGCTTATAAAGAAAAGGTAAATTTAACAAACAACTATATTCAGCATCGGATTAACCTTTCAATACTAGATCTAGATCTCAATCTAGAAATTAAAATCCAAAAATTATATATGGACTATTATATAATGGCAAAATATTCTAAGCTATGGACAATCTTATTTCTCTTGTTACGAAAGGCCAAGGTTATTTTCAAATTAGTTCGGTGAATAGCAGCCTTTGCCCTTTGAGAGAAATGGCCACTTTTTGCTACAGAGTTGGGTTAGTTGCTGTAAGTACATTTTTATATAGATCTAGATCTAAATAAAACTATGCTTTGCAACTGTTGTTTAGCGCTGATTAAGTTACATTTTCTTATTTACTCTTACAGAAACAAGCAAAGGTTCTTGGTATTTCTTCTCGATTGTTATCAACAACTTCTCCTAAAAGTGCACAGGTAGGTCCTTCCTTGAATTTTGAAGAAGCAAGTTCCTTCACCTACTGCAACATTAGGTCTATAAGTCTATAGATTATAGATCTAGTCTATAGTAATAGATCCAGATCTATTTTTTAACTGTCAGTCACCTTTCTATCCCTAATTAGCAAACTATACTATGGCTGACCATATTTCCAGTTGGCTATCATTTAATTGATTATCAGTAGGCTTAAAATTACTCAAATTAAATAATTAGGCCTAGGGCCTAGATCTATAAAATATTAATATAATATGGTACTTTTGACATAACTTTGTAGTTGTACTTAATAATAATAAGACTTACATATATAGCACACTTTAAGTTATAAGTTACATGTACAGGGCTGTTTACTTGTATGGTTATTTAATTTATAAACCGACTGGAAATAGACGCCCCAATATTTGTCACTTGGTTTGTTTACAATTCTCAAAAATTGCATGGTTGCTCTATTAGTGCATCTTGATTTTTAAGCAGGAAAATGAGATAAAAACAATATTCTGAACCAAATGGAGGGCAAATAATTAATAAAATGTATCACAGTAGTGACACTTCAATTACATTAAGATATTTTTGATTAGTGGATAATTATACTATTACTACTTAAGTGTCTTGCATTGCCCATTCAACCTATAAGAATTACGGTTTTTGCCCACTTTTGATAGTAAAAAAGAAGTGGGGTATATATTATAAAAATACAAGCAGAGGAAGACATAATTTGGTAACTTGAAGTATTAGATCTCCCTTTGTTAAGCTCATGACTAATTAAGTTCTTGAAATCTGCAACACTAATCAAAAACAACTCCAATCTACTTTGCTGTCATGTGCTTAAAAGGTAAACTAAGCTTTTACCACTGCTTTAAAGATTAGAATTAAGTCTCTTTTAACAAGTAGTACCTTAAGTAGTATTAAAAATTTACATTTATAAGTTTAATTTTTATAAAGTCAATACTTTCTCATTTCCTTGTCATTATACCCCATTATTTGTAAATTTGTATTAACAATACTTGTACATTGATCCTTCTACATCAATGCTATGATTAGGTCTGGGTTTGAAGTATTGGTAAAATAAATGTCTAGATATCAACTTCATATAATATATACAACTGTAAGTGGTTTGATTTAACAACAAATACTAGTTCAATGTAATGTCTACATTCTTCAGCTTCTTCTCTTTTCAAATGTATGTTATTTTAAAAACTTGTTACAATTGGGAAGAACTGTTAAATTTCTTTTTTTTTTCAAAACTTTTGCCAATGTACTTTTTAATTGAGTTAAAAAATAACTTAACAGCTAACAGTTCGTGATGCACTGAATGCAGCCTTAGATGAAGAAATAGCAAGAGATGAAAAGGTGTTTTTAATGGGAGAAGAAGTAGCACAGTATGATGGAGCTTATAAGGTACTAAAACTTATATATCTAAATTTCTTTTATAAGTAAATTTCTAAAATGCCACAACTACTACATTAATTTTACTTCACTTGCCCAATGGACTGTCAGGTTAGAAAAAAGGAACTTTACTTTTTATTACTTTCCTAGAATGTTTGAACTGGGAAAAAAAATCTTTAGATGATAATATCATAATACTTGTAATGCAGGTGTCAAGAGGGCTATGGGCAAAGTATGGAGACAAAAGAATTATTGACACTCCAATTACAGAGGTAAATATACTAAATACTTCAAAATTAAACCTATAATTTTTCCAATTGATAATAAAATTATATTTAACTGATGGATGCCTATTAAATAGTTCAATGCTTGCTAACACAATTCTCATAATTGTAACATTTCGTACAAACAGATGGGTTTTGCTGGTATTGCTGTTGGTGCAGCAATGGTGAGTATGTTTTATTAAACATATATTGTTATATATTATTTTAATATATCCTACATTGCTCACAATAGATGTTTGACTGGTAATCCTATAAAGAGACTTTTGTTTTTATTTAAAGGCTGGACTAAAACCTGTGTGTGAATTTATGACATTCAATTTCTCACTGCAAGCTATAGATCAAGTTATCAATTCTGCTGCTAAAACTTTTTATATGTCTGCAGGACAGGTAGCGTACAATTTTTAAAATACATCTAATTTATTAATTATAGCTGCAATCTTTCAATGCATAATTATACTTGAACATGATTTTAATAGCCCACAACTTGATGCAATAGCTGCAAGTCACAAATAAAAGTTTGCAAGATAATTTTCTAATTTCTGCACCAAAATTACTTACAATTCAGAGCATAAGATCTTAGTTATTATTTACATTTTCAAAGTTTATTGAAATACCTCAGAAATTGAAATTGCTCAGTTTATTATAGGTTACATAGTACTTAACAGTTTTTTACTGTTTCTTTTTTAAATTAAGTATTGTTTATGTTAAATAACTTTTTTTTTATCATTTCAGGTTCCTGTTCAAATAGTTTTTAGAGGTCCTAATGGTGCTGCATCTGGTGTGGCTGCCCAGCATTCACAATGTTTTGCTTCATGGTACAGTCAAGTTCCAGGTTTAAAAGTTATTTCCCCTTACTCTGCTGAGGATTGCAAGGGTTTACTCAAGTCAGCCATCAGGGATCCCAATCCAGGTAAGTGCTGCTAGCTAATCATTTTCAGCACTCGCTATATATTTTGTAGGTGCTTGTTTAGAAATGTAGTTAGAAAGCATTATTGTTTTTAAAAAGCCATGAATAATATTTAACTTTCATTTTTTAAATTACATGTATTTTCAAGTATTGATGTAATGTTAAATTTTTTTATTTCAGTTGTCTTCCTTGAGAATGAGCTCGTGTATGGAACTGCTTTTGAAGTATCTGATGAGGTTATTTCAAATAAAGATTTTTTGATACCTATTGGCAAAGCAAAAATTGAAAGAGAAGGTACTAAAAAAATTATATACCTTATTAACCTTAAGAACTTAAATATTTTGTTTTCAGGTATTAATAAATGTTAATGCAATCAAATGAAAATAATTTGTCTAATACTTTAAAACCCAAAAATACATGCAGTTTTATTTTTGTTATTAGATTTAAACTTTAATAAAATAGCTAAACAGTTCAGTAATATCATCTTGGCAAAATGTATTCTATTTCTTTAGGAAAACATATTACACTAGTAGCACATTCTAAACCAGTTGGGTTGTGTCTAGAGGCAGCAAATGAGTTGGCTGGTAAAGGTATTGAGTGTGAGGTGAGTCCAAACTATAGCTACTTATGAAATATATTTATATCTGATTTGTCTAAGATATTTTGCTATTGGCTGGTTTACCTTTTCATTTTACATTTTATATTCTAATTACTGTTATTTTTATGATGTTATTATTATTTTTCTTACAAATTGTTTTTGAAATTATTTTATAATTAACCATTAATGTCCCATTCATTCTACCAAAACTCCACCCATGACGGCCCAATGTAAGGAGCATAACTCTGTATGATCAAGTGAATAGTTTCACAAAATATTTGTTTTTTTCTAAATGAAATTTAAAATTAAGATAAAAACTACTGCTTAATGTTGGGAATAAACCTGGCTTTCCAACAGTATTAAATAGAATATATTATATTCGGTAAAAGTACAGTAAAAAAATAAAAAATGTCGGAGAAAATTCAAAACAGGTCATTTTTGGTAGTCAACTTTATTTATTTTTGTCTAAACAACTAAGCATCGAATTTAACAGTTAAATATCAATTTGGTTATGTTTAAGATAAATAATTCATAAAATACATGCCTAGATACGTTTAAAGGCATTATTTTATTTTATTTTTAACATTAAATCTACTAAAAAAAAGGACAGATGAGTCTAAAATTTCGAGATCGAAAGAAGCTATTATTTTTTATCTTTCAAAAGCGCCATTGAAATTATAAGACCGGAAAAGGATGGTGAAACTATCCGACTTCCTGTTTAGTTAAAAATTAGGATTTGTAGGCCAAATTTTAATGAAACAAATTTAATTTTTCTATGCGTATTTTAAGCGGGCGGCAGCGGGCGTTACGGGACATTAACGGTGTCGGGCGGCAGCGGGCGTTACGGGACATTAATGGTTAATGAAAGTGTGTATAAATGTTTCTATACAGGTTATTAACCTTAGAACATTACGGCCACTTGATGAAGAAGCTATCATAAAATCTGTAAAAAAGACCAACCATTTAGTAACAGTGGAAGGTGGCTGGCCACAGTGTGGTATTGGTGCTGAAATTGTTGCAAGGGTGATGGAGAGTAAGTTCATGTGTTAATGAAATATATTCTTTTTTTACTCATTCCTCTTCTGATCCTCATGACCACTTTTTCTTACTCCCCTACTTAAAGCCACTTGTAGATGTTTATTTGTACAAATCTGAATCATAGCATGGATTATCTTTTTACTAATTTACATCATTAAATACTTCAGTTGAGCAAAATTATACTGAAAAAAAAAAGATTAAAATGTCTGTTTCAATTAGAAGTTAAGGATTATTGTTTATGTAATCATCTACCTTTACTGTCTTTTAATTGTTGTATTTTAAATTTTTTTACCAACATATATTTGTATTGCAGGTACAGCTTTTAATTATCTCGATGCTCCAATACTCAGAGTTACTGGGGCTGATGTTCCCATGCCATATGCAAAAAGCTTGGAAGAATCTGCATTGCCCCAGGTTAAAAATGTTGTAAACGCTGTCAGGAAATCTCTAAACCTCAAATGATGTGATTAAGTTGTACATTTTTTGTGTGACCTCATGTAATAGATTTTTTTTTAATTGTGTGAATGGATATTTTCACATTGACATTCTAGAAAGAAAAAAATTGAGATCAATGTAGTTATTTTTCTCAATCCATTGTCAATTTTGAATGTTTGATTAAAAGACAGTCATATAGTTTAATCTCATAGCAGCAGTGTGAGTCAAAAATGTGTTACTATGAACATTTACTGATACTAGCAACAGTGGGATAAAAATTATCTTGTTTAAAAATGTGTATATGGAAAATTGTTTTCTTAGTTTAAGATCAATATTCAAGTCACAGTATTTGACCCATGCCTGCGATACTGAATGATATTAGAGCATCTGCTATGTTCCTTTCTTCTGCAGCTGGTACATTTTTTATGAGCATATTTATGTAAACATGTCTAGGAAAACACAGTAAACCACTTTTTTGAACTGTTTGATTGACAGCTTTGTTTGTGTAGTAAATTATCTAAAAAAATATACCACTATAGTAAATACTTTGATTAATTAATATAAAAGAAGTTTAGAAGTGTATACCATTAACTTATTGTTGCTCAAATTTATTTAGTTTTAATATTTCTGTTACTGGTAGTGAAATAAAAAGTTGACTACTTTAGCTATTATTTTTTTTGTTAATCAATGCTAGTAAATTTGCTAGAAGAATTAAAAGAGAGTTGAAAGCATCTCAGGCAACATACAGCTGAAGATGTTGCTTGTTTGGTAAGTCATTGTTAGTGTCAAATTTTGTTATATTAATTAATAAACAGTTAATGGAAAAAAAAATTGTTAGGACAATTAATAATAACTAGTATAAAGTGCTTTATGAAAAAATATATCTTTAGAACCTTAGCAGCTTGGTGTTCTAAAAAAATTGAGTTTCACCTTTGATGTTGAAAAGCAGAGTGTTAGAATTTGACGCGCATTGTTATAAAAATAGTACCCTAGTGAGATTATTTACCCAATTTTTTAATGAGAAATTACTTCTTTAAATATTTTTTTTGCTTTATAATAATTATACTAAGTTAGTATTGGTTAAATGAAATGAACTGAAAATCAACTTTACACATGTACTAAACCACTGATGAAGTGTACTGATTCACTTTATTGCATAATTGCATACATAGCAACTTTCATACTGAAATCAAATTACACTTTAAATGGCAGATCAAAACAGCTGTAATCTAAATGAAGTAACTTGGCTAATTTAAAAAAAACCTGCTATTTACACAAGCCAATCTGAAAAATTAGTATATCTTAAGATGCACGCCACAATCATTAACACACAACAAAAAAATAATGTCAAAAATTTATCATTTTATCAAAATAATAACTTTCACCCAAAAAAATTGTTAATTAAATGCAGCAAAGTTTAAAACAAGCAAATTTTTCAGCACCTTAATAAAGTTGCTTTTATTTGTTCCTTCACATTAGATAACTTAAAAGTTTTTAATGTCTACATTGTAGAGATTTTAAAAACAAACTCCATTTTGGGAATACAAATAGACCAAATTTTGAATGCAAGCTGTCTAAAATCAGTTATCTAAATATCTTTCATTTAATTTTTACTCAATCCTATGTAAAAATGCCATTAAAATATTTATAAGCGTGCCATGGTAAAAAAGGAAAAAATATGCAAACAGACATGCTGCAAGAGCTACAAGCATAAACATGTTTGAGATTGTTTAATAAAAATTTTGGGGAAAAAGTTTACAAATCCTGTGTTGATGTTCTTCAATAACTGTGACTTAGCTTGAACAAAGCAAAACTTAATAGGCATACAATTTAGTTTTATTTATTTGCTTGTCTGGGCATTCACGGGTCTTATCATAGTAGTAAAAACATCCGTCTCTGCGAACAAGCTTCTTGATATAACCATTATGGGGCCATCTGTCTACCTGTCAGATTAATAAAAGAATTAATTCTTAGACGCATTGAACATAATTATATTATTATTATAACAAAATAACTAGTATGAAAAAATAAAACTGCAAAGTAATTGCATAAATATTGTAATTATAAGTAGAGTTTAAGCACACTGCTAAAAGTACTAACAAGCTAAGAACAGATCTTTAGGTATACAAGTTCAAACAACTTCATTGTAGTTTTCTGCTCCATCAAATTACCACTATACAGTACTTGATTTTGAAAGGTATTGAATCAATAGCTGCTGCTTTGTATTTATTTTATGGGAAAATTGGCAAGAAAATTGACCGAAATTGCCACATGCATACTAGCTTGTTTTTGGAATAGTGTGGTAGATCCAGCATGTAATAGCTAACCCTGATGTCTTGAGTTCAGTTCCATGGCTCAAGTCTGTAAGTGTTGAGTCCACCCAGATTTAATGGGTTCATTAATTAAGTTAGGAAAAGTAAAGGTGTTTGGACTTAAAACACCATGTCTCAACTGCAGAGGTCACAGATGAGAAACAGGTAAATTACTTTCTTTATTGGGTCCACTGGTATAACTATTCTTAGCACCCTTACATGATCTGTTTTATGAACTTCTTTGTATTCTATTTCATCTCTGTATCCAGCCAGTTGGAACCTGTATGCCTCTTCAACCTCCTCATTCCATTGTGTAGGTCTTGACATAGATTTTGGTTGACTAGCAGTGGGCATCCTTACAGCTGCAGCCATAGCTAAATGAAAGAATGGGGGTTGAATAGTCATATATTTATCACACCAAATTAATCAATTTGTTTACACAGCAATCATGCCAAACAGAAAACAACCTAAGGAATGGTAAGACTAGGCTGGCATATTTATATATATAATTCTCTTCTGGGAGACGTTAGAATGCAAGCGCTCCTTGCAGTCCCCTCTCTTCCTCTATATAGCTACCAGTGTTTCTTCCAGATTTTTTTCTCCGGGGGGGGGGGGGAGCACTTGAAATCTTCGGGGGGGGGGGGGGGCGGTAAACTTTCTTCGGGGGGGGGGGGGGGGCGATTTGTTAAAAGTATATTATATATTTTCTATATAAATTATATAAATTTCATTTCGTTCGGGGGGGGGGGGGGGGAGGGGGGCGGTAAAAAATTTTCGTCTGGTGAGCTGTGGTTCACGCTAAATGTTTACAAACCGTAGAGACGGGTTTAGTGACGGCTATTAGGGGCAGATAATTTTACAAAAATGCTATATAGATACTACAGTAAACTTGTACTTTTGAGTCAGATCTACCATATCTATATATAATTCTCTTCATGGAGGGACCATGCGGGACACCACCATGTAAGAACGCCGACGCTCCCCCTCCCTCTCTCTTCAGGCATGCTCAACAGACCATATTGCTACCACCCCATCCCCACCAGTCTGGTGAGATGTTTACAATCGTAGAGTCCTGTCAAATTAGTGACGGCTATTAGAAGCAGATAATTTAGTTCTTAAATGATTTGAAACTAAGAGGAGATAATAACAAGCTTAATCATTTCATTGTCGTCTGTAAACTGTCGTCGTGGAAGGCTCCTTTCACTGGGGGGGGGGGGGGGTGAGGAGGAGTGGAAAGAAAGAGTGAGGATAATCGTCCTTCGCGAGCTACTGATAGCGTTTTAAAGCAAAATATTTTCAATCGCAGCATTGGTAGTGTTGAATTAAAAAATTATGAATTACTGAAAAATAGAATATAAAACAACTAAATAGCGGTGTATGTTCATTGTGGGTCTGCTAGTTTAATATAATCACTTAAATTATTAATCAGTGAATAACAGTGAGTAACTGGGGAGATCATGTGATATAGCAACTAACACTAAACCACGCGTAATATATTATTTATTTGTACACTTATTATTTATTTAATATTTAAGCATATTATACTGATACTAATTTTAATGTAATAAAATTTTGTCATTTGTTTAGTTTAGTCTATAAAATATTAGTCCCTAAAGTGTTTAAGGCAAGAAGGGAGTCTCAGTAAAGTCTGAGTAAAGCCTAACTACTAACTAATTAGTAAAATTACTAAATTTAAAACTCTAAAGAAAGTCTAAAGACTAAGACTAGTCTAACTAAACTAAGAAAGCCTTGCCTCAAGTTTAAACGTAAAGCCAAAGCCTTAAAAAAAATACTATTGTAACTAGAATCTGATACTTAATAAATTGATCTAATTTTAATATAATAATTTAATAACTTTAAAACTTTTAAACTTGATAGAGAATCTCGATTATTAAGCTCAATAATACTTTTTAGACTAAACTATATTCTACTAGTATTTACCAACCATAAGAAATTCACTTACGTTTCTAAAGTTACTAAGCAACAGAATATCAATATTGGCTACGCAGTGAATTCATGTGTGCATTTTATTGGCTCCAATTTTATACTTCATATTTATTCGCATTTTATATGTTAAAAGTTTCTTATTATTTCATTTAGAATTTAAAAATTAGATTGTGCCTTTAAATTTAATTAAATCAATGATTTTAACTTATGAAACGTTTGATAGCATAAAGAATACATTTTCATTAAACTTTTGACTTAAAGTGTATAAAATGTGTGTATTGTCCGCCAGTTTCAGGATATACTGGTCAAATGTGTAACACGATTTTTTATTATTTGTTTATCTCTATGATCTCAATATTCTTCGCATTTTTGAAAAGGGTTTTCTTTCAAGCTAGTGTTCTGTATAGAACCGTTTGTTTGTTTGTTTGTTTGATTTTCTCACTAAAATTGAACTATTGATGAAGTTATACAAATCTACTGTAAAACGTTTGCTGGTTCAGTGATAGTTTTTTTTATGTGATATCATTCATGTATATTTCACCTTTAGACCTTTGCTGGTGTTTTTTTTATTGTTTGTTATTGTTTTGTAGCTCGCAATTAATTAATTTCGGCCAAACATTATAATATAGATAGACATAATATTATTCAATATGTTCAATTTATAAGCTGTACAGGTATCAAACTAGTTGTGCTGGAACTTGATTGATATGTATGTTGTTATGTTCCATTGTAGCACTTCATATCAGACCCCCACAACATAAAATGTTGTCACACTTCAGCACCCCCCCCCCCCTCCCCTTCTCTAGTAACCATGTGAAGCCCGTTGAGCAAATATTTCTTAAACTATTTGTTTCGCTATGAACTTAGGACGATGTCGCAATTTATATCCAACAGGTTTTTTCATAATATCCGGTATAGTGCCTAACATTTTCCTATTTTCGGCAAAATGGCTACCTCGTTGCTGAAGGTCACTAGTAGCGCAGCTAGAATTTTAAATTCTACTCAAAGGGTAATTTTTGTCTTATTTTAAAATACATGGAAATATGTTATGCCTTTAGATCTACATAGATCTAAAGAAAAGTGAAGTGTAAGTAAAAATTACAGCCAAAATATCTTGTTTGTGCGTCGTCTTCTCAGACAGGCCTACTGGTGAAAATGGGTAATCTATCGTTTTGGGTACGTAAAATCGCCCGCGGCTTCTAATGTACGAAAACGTTACCTCATTGTCAAGGCTTTAATAGGAGTGTATTGTCATATGTTTGTGTCAAATATTATAGATAAATGAATAATAAACCTAAATCAATGGCTACATATTATATCGATATAGGCCAGAAATTAACTTTAAACAGCAGTGTCTGAGAGCAAGATTTGCTATATAAACAGCAGCCATTTGTAAAATAGAGTGGCATCCCCCTGATCTCGCGCTGAAAGCTTATAAAAATAAAACTTAAACAAGATGGCTGCTATAGTAAATGAGCAAGATTGCATCTGTTGGAAACATCGCTAGTCTTCATTTATTACTGAAAAGTTTTAATTCAATTCTTTAAAAACAGGTACATAAATGAAACAAGGAAACATTTTTGTATTTTAAAAAACATAAATCCTCCTCAAAATGTGAAATAATTATTAAAATTTAAGGAGTCACCTGGTTTTCACATTACAAGTCGCGGGCGATTTTACGTACCCAAAACGATAGATTACCTGAAAATGTTTTATTTAAAATTTAATTTTCAGTTTTCAGTCATTGAATTAGAACTCTAGAAAAATCTTCTAAATATCGCAAGTTGCTGTCACTGAGTCCCAGTGCTAGTCATATTTTTCCTTAAAATGTGTTAGATTGGGCTTTAAAATTCGTCTGTTGTAAGTTGTAGGCCTACATGTTTTGTCTAATTTTTTTTTACTAGAAACAAAATTGTAACAATTTTTTGTAATTGTAAGTACTAGAATACCTGTCATACCTTGGATAACTGTGGGTTTCGGGGGTCATCCATAAATGACATCACGTCTGTCACTTATCACAAAATAACCAGACCCCACATTCAAAAAGACGTTTTTTATCTTTTAAAAACACCTATTTCGGCTGAGCATAGGTCTGACCATACTTTCCCTTCATATACTGACGTCACAGGTGACCTACTCAACTCTACTTACCTGCCCAGTGTCCAGCCAAGTTTAAGACAACTTGTTTTTATCGTTTAAAAAAAACTATTCTGGCCGAGCATGTCTCTGACCACACTTTTCCTCAATCTAATTCTGTATCAGCTGTGCCCAGAGTAAAAATTTTACTATAACCCCCATTACACACTGATACTGGGAACATTTGCTTTTTAAATTATTTAAAATTCATTAAAAAAAACAAAGTAAAAAAATAAGTTAAGCCTAATAATCACTAATCCTATTTCAATAGATGTTATTTGGAAAATTTGAGCAAAATTGCAGCATTAGAATTGGGTAAAAAGTGAGTTACAAGATTTGCCACAAACTTAGGCATTGTGTACTAAGTAAAATCTGTAAAATTAAAAGATGTGACAATTTACTTTAACCTAGATGTCCTAGAACAATGGCCTTGAAAAGTCAGTTGTTTTTAAGATAATTAAGTTCCTTGTAGGTGGCATAACAAGGAGTTTACATAAGGCTTTAATTAGGTCCTGAATTTAGGAATACATATTGAAACATGATCCATTAGGCCTATGCTATGTTCCCTCTAAGCTCCGCGCAGTAGTTTTGAGCTGCCGCGCAGTGATTTTGTAAAATAAATATATCCTTATAGAAGACTTTTAGAACAGCGCGCAAAGAAAATACATTTTGCACACTAGCTTTTCCTCCTTAGAGGGAATATTGGGCCTATGTGATGTAAATTACGATAATAGCAGGAAATTATAACTAGGACTTGTTGTAATTATAAATGTATTTAAATTTTCACACATATTTTTTTTACATCTTTTTTCAGTTACCTTTTGTTGCAGCCTTAGGCCATAAGAGATGGAAGTCTGCCCAAGCATTGACCTACGAACAGGCAGTTCTCAACATGCCAGAAACACGGGTTACCACTCTGGGGAATGGTGTCAGGGTTGCCACAGAGGACTCTGGAATCATTACCAGCACTGTGGGTCTCATTGATTTCATTACTTCTTCTATGCATTTGTAATCTATCAAAAGTTTTACCTAAAATAATTTTAAAAACTTAATTTTCAGGTTGGTATTTGGATTGATGCTGGTAGTAGGTATGAAAATGCTAAGAATAATGGTGTGGCACACTTCCTTGAACACATGGCTTTTAAGGTAATAGAAATTTGATTTGATTTAGAAAACAATACTCCTCATTTATTTTTTTATTCCACGCCACTCACTTTAAAAAAAATAAGTTGCAGTATCATATGCATTCTCATTTTTAAAATAGAATTAATTGTAATTTTGTTTGAATATAGGGCACAAAGAAAAGGACCCAGACAAACTTAGAGCTGGAAATAGAAAACATGGGAGCCCATCTAAATGCCTACACTTCTAGGGAACAGACTGTGTACTACGCCAAATGTTTTGCTAAAGATCTCCCTAAAGGTATACTTAATTATGGATGTAATCAATAGTGTAAAGTAAGCAAATGTGTAATGGTAATGACTAAAACATTGTCAATTGTGTGTGTTTCATTTTCTCTTGAGATATAAAATAAAAATTTGAAATTTAAACGGCTGTGAACATTATGACACCAATTAAAAAGCTCACATTTACCATCCCATTATCATTTTAAAAATAATTCAAATGTTATCTTCTCTTATTTGTGTACAGCTGTAGAGATTTTGGCCGACATTACACAGAACAGTTTACTGGGTGACCAGGAAATTGAACGAGAGAGAGGTGTCATTCTTAGAGAAATGCAGGTTATTAGGAAATTTATCCTCACATTAGTTATAGTTCACACAGTTAGGTGTAGATCATAGTAGATGTCTAGATAGATCCTTGAAACTGAAACCAATTCATGGAATTTTGTATTTATTTGAAGCTAATTTTAACAAATTTTATTGTGTAGGAAATTGAAACCAATCTACAAGAAGTTGTATTTGATCATCTTCATGCTATGGCTTACCAAGGAACTTCTTTGGGACAAACTATCTTGGGACCCACTGAAAACATCAAGTATGATCATTCATCAAAATGTTTGTCCATGTTTTAAAATTCCAACTTATTTTTTTTATTAAAATTTTTTATTTAATATTTTTTAAGATCAATCTCTCGCAATGACCTGGTAGAATATATTAGCAACCACTACAAAGGACCTCGCATAGTTCTTGCAGCAGCTGGGGGTGACTATTTTACTTCATGCTTATACTTTTTTTTTTTTTCATTTTTTATTACTGATTACTTTTAGAATAAACTTACAGCATTATATACGCTGTGATCTCTATAAATATTAAAATAGTACTGTGGCAGAAATAACTTTCTGAAATGATTCAGTATTTTTTTTATAACTGTTGGAAGATCCATTAAAACATTCCTACAAAAACTTGTACAGGAGTAAACCATGAGGAGCTTTGCAGCCTGGCTGATCAATATTTTGGAAAGATGACTGCAGGTTATGATAATGAAATTCCAGTCCTGCCCCAGGCTAGATTCACTGGTAGTGAGGTATGGCCATTTCAATCAAGATCTTAGTACTGGTGTGCTATTGTTTAAACAACAGAAAATTATTTGTTCTGTTTTTTTTCCCATCTTTTACAAAATGTGTTCCACCCACAGATGAGGGTAAGAGATGATCAGATGCCCTTGGCCCATGTTGCCATTGCTGTTGAAGGATGTGGTTGGCAGAACCCAGACAACCTTGCACTGATGGTTGCCAACACTTTGATTGGCAGCTGGGACAGGTCACATGGTGGGGGCTCCAACCTGCCGAGTCGACTGGCCCAGAACACAGTCAAGCTGAACCTGGCTCACAGCTTCCAATCTTTCAATACATGCTACACAGACACTGGCTTGTGGTAAGTTTTACAAACACATTGTCTAGTAACGTTGGTACATTGTCATGTCACATGATTATTTTGGATTCCGTGATAATCTCATGTTGTCTCATCTGTTTTTGTTTTCACAAACTTATTGTAAGTTAAAGGGTTGCATCTCATCTGTTTCTGTTTTCACAAACTTATAATGTTTATATTTTAAAAGGGTTGTACTGAAAATAATTTGGATGCTTGTCTTTTCAGGGGTATTTATTTTGTTGCTGATAAATTACAGATTGACAACTTTATTTTTAATGTACAGCAAGAATGGTGAGTTGTCACCTGTGTGATTATTTAGTTATGATTTTTTTTGTATGTGTACTTGATAATATTAAGTTTGACTGAATTTAAGAAAGAGATAAAAACAATGATCATGCTTGTGCTATGTTGCCAGGTGTTGTTGAATTAATCATTGTTTAATTGATTATTATCATAGGATGCGCCTGTGTGGTGGTGTCAGGGAGGGGGAAGTTGAGAGAGCCAAGAATCTTTTGATGACCAATATGCTGCTCCAACTTGATGGCTCTACTCCAATTTGTGAAGATATTGGAAGGTATTTGGCTTTTAGTTTATCCTAGTTTTGGTTAGTTTATTATACTTTTTTTTATGACATTAACAATAGAAGTATGCTGAAAAACATATTCATTTTTTAACTTGCAGACAAATGTTGTGCTATGGTAGAAGGATACCAATTGATGAGCTAGAGATCAGACTAAAGGTAATTTGATTCTTTCAAAAACAATTTTTTTTAAATCATGTTTTAATAAATGTTTTGAGGAAAAAACAACTTAGTTAAAATAATCTAGTTAGATCCTTTTTTTAAAAACATTTTTTTGTTTAATTTTTTAATTGAAAACTGTAGCACCCATTATGTTTGCCTCATCTTCTGTGTACAGGCCATAAATGCTGATACCTTGAAGGCTGTGTGCACCAAGTACTTGTATGACAAATGTCCAGCTGTTGTAGGAGTTGGTAAGTCTGAGTTTCAATGATAGTCTTAACATTGTTTGGTCAGCCAATAAAAATCTGTTTAGAAATTCTAATCCAGTATTTGCCCAAAAATAACATGTAGGGCATGTTAAATTGGTAGATAATATAGTTTTAGTCTCTATATCATCTTATTTTAGGGTAGCTTTAGTATCAATCCACTTAACAAATCTAATCTAATCAGAAAAATGTTTTTTTATATTATAAAACTATAGGAAAATGTTTAGGAGACTGAATAATTAGATGAATCAAAAGTTCTGTCTTGTAGAAATATTTCTGATAAGAAGGCATACAAGCTATCCCTCTAACAATTATTTATTTTTAAAAAATGGAAGGATTAGCTCACCTTATTAGTGTTGAATGGAAATTTAGACAACTAAATGGAATTATAACTCATGAAAAGCTTTCCAGGGTCATTGTCATCCACACATGCAATTTTCACTCCCAGTTATGCACCTGATATTACCTCCATTTATTCCCATTGAAGAAATATAGTTTTTCGGGTCAAGCAGTATTTTCTTTGTGCATAACATACATTTTCTAAGGTCACCCATAATGCTGAAAAAAACTTTTACTGCAGAACTATGCTGTACCACTGATGTGTGATAACGTTTTAAAAATATTTTAAAATGTTTTTTTTTATGACACTTTATAATGAATGTATTTTTACGCTGATTTTCTATGGAGAGTTTGTATTACAAAACATACATTTTTTCATTTTAGGTCCTATTGAAGCTTTAACAGATTATAACATTGTGAGAGCTGGCATGTATTGGCTGAGGACATAACACACACAACTTTAGGATCATGCAGTTATTTTATTTGTCTGAAACAATGTGAGAATGTTCAATTTGAAACTATACTCTTGTGGCCATATAAGAGTAAAGAAGAAATCTTAAACAGTGCTGTTTTAAAGTTGTAGTAATATGATTCAAACCTGAAAGCTGACAATTGCCTGGTAGTTTAGATTTTGTCTACAAAGTGCAGTTGAAGCCGTCAATTTTGTCATAATTTGTTGTTTATTCTGTAATGAGATGTTTGTCAGTTATGGGAAGTAAATTAAAATTTTGTACAGTATTGCTTTGGTTATTTGTTTATTTTGTATTTGTAAGACAAAATTCATTCATCAGAACACTTACCAACAGTTTAAAACTATTAATTTGCACCAGAATTGTTTACAGATAAGTATAGTTAAGAATTAGTCAATTCATAATGACAGGAGGAAGTTCAAGATAATATTCCTCAGTGTATTGTCTACAAGTCCACTTTTCCTTATTCAGAAATTTTCCATTTGGCAGTTTCAATGATGCTGTTGTCTCTATATGCAAGTCTTCTGAAATGACTATTTTTCAACTTGAGTGTATAAGAATCATATCAATAAGTGTTAGTCCTCAAAATACCAGAAAAATGTAATGCTGCAGTGTATGAGTTTATTAAAAAATCAGCCACACTAAAAAAATTGTCTTCATGTCTTGTGAGTCATAAATCAGGTATTATATAAAAGAATATAAAGTATAATACAGCTTTAAACATACACTTAAAATATATTTGAAGCATGTTCACAGTAAATATTGTGAAATTTTGTCTGATTGGCACTATTTTCTTTTTGCCTTAGTTCAAAACCTAAGCCTTATAAGTTCTTGCTAGAAAAGTTTCCTTTAAACCATTAAACTATTTTATACTAAATGAATTGGTAATTTGAAACATTCACGACTGGTTATAATTAAGTTAACAGATCAGAACAAAATTACAAAAACAGAATGAAATTAGGTCATTCTTTTATTTATCATAACCAAATCTCTTAAGGCAAGCCATTCACATTCTTATAATGTTACATTCAAATCAATCTTGTTCATATGTTTATCAAATCAGTGGGGACTTGTAAATAGTTTCAAAAAAACATTTCATGTCAAAATAAGTATTAAAAAGAAAACAGTATAAATGTATATAAATAAGTAAAGAAGCATTTAAGCTCTTCAATAAAGAGCAGAATATGGTTTTTCTTTTGCATATAAGGACAGGCCACAAAATAAAAAGTATAAAACAGCATCTTATACATAGAGTGATAACATTACAGGATTTCATAAACACTGACTGAGCATTGAGACAGCTCATACAATGTGTTTTTCTTTAAACAAAAATGTATAATAATTATAATGTAAACATGCCTTCAACTTCAACTAAACTTTTTTTTAAAAAAGCTGCACTTTATTAGATTTGTTAATTGAAAAGGCTTTATCGTTAAAACAATTTAAAAATGCGCAAACAAAGATGAAAAAAAAAAATTTGCATGAGACAAGTGGTATGCATTATTTAATGACAAACATTTAAAAATCAATTTGTGCATATAAAACAGGATTTATTAAGATCAAAAAACCTAACAATACTTGGCACAATATTCACAATAACGATTCTGGTACATGTGGCTGGTTAATATCTACAATAAAAACATTAATGCTTAAGAACAGTGGCAACCCAAAAGAAAATATTTACAGTGATGAGGGGATGCTTTAGTCTTGTGTTAAGTAGCTCAAAACTTTGTACATTAGCTATAATGATCTGATGAGTTGTCAATGATAATTTGCTATGTTCATTATTTATTGATATTTTACATTTTAACTTATTCACATTAAGAACACATAAAACAAACTTTAGTTTTTCTAATTATATTGTAAAAAATAAAATATTTAGAATTGAGTGGTTTAATACATTGATTACTTGTGGTCACACTTTTAAAAATGTAAGTTGAAACAACTCATCTTTATTTTAATGTTTTTTTTTTCATCATTAGTAATTTGGTTCAACCAAGTTAATAAAATTAGTTGTTTTTTTTTACATGCATAAATATATATTTATAGTTCTGTGAATTATATTATATATGGTAACTTATAATAAAAGTTATACTCATGTCAAAAAGGGCTAGTTAGTAATTGAACAGATTTATAAAGTAACACAAACAATATTAAGACAACAGAGCATTTTGTGATCACTGTTTTTATCTACCACTGGCTAAACAACACAGTAACAAAGTATGATCCTACCACAAACAATAATTTTTTTAGTCAATAAATTATTGTATACTATTGCCACTATAAATGTTGCAAATATAAAAACTAGGAAAAGGCTGACAAATAGCTTAGTACTATTTTGACATGAAAATTTCAAATAAAAAAACTTCAGATGTCTATCTTAAAAATTATGATGTAATTATACGATATAATTTATGAAGGAAAATAAAATTTATATATCACAGATCTCTATTTTCCATAATTCACAAGCAGTAAATTATAAATAATATGAGCAAATTGATGAAGTTTGTGTTCACAAGTTGTCTGCCTTTGTCAGCCCATCAAAGCACACACATCCAATCCACCACAATACAGATAGTGCAGGCACAACAAAAGCCAAACTACTTTAAAAACATGGAATGGATTAAAAAAAAAACATTTAAAATGAGTAGCACAAACTAAAACCAATCAGCAGTTTGTATACAATTAAAGCAGGCACACACATGGGTAAATTGCATCATATTGTTGTCTCACTTGATCTGAAATGAAGAAACACAATATATACTAGTGCACTATAGGAAGCACTGCAGACGATAATATGAATAAATATTTTTATTTTAAATATCCAATGATATCCATGTTTATTAGTTTTGAAATGGAATTAAAAGGTACTGTAAGCTTAGAGAATATAATTTGTTAGCAGGCTTAAATAAAGAGTTCTTTAAAAATATAGTGGGAAGGGCCTAATTTTTAGTTTGTCAACTATATAAGCCAGATTTTATTTGAATTAAACATTGAACTAGAAATCAACATAAGCTACCATCAACATTTTTTTCTTTTAATCAAAGGATTTTCAAATTGCCATGAATTTATTTCTCAAAATTGAAAAAGTAAACCAGGTTCTAATTTATTGACCTGTATGCGGAACTTTTATTTTTAACTTTTAAATTAACCAGGAATGTTGGGTCTCTGTAAATTAGTTTAAAATGCAAATATATCCAAAGTCAGTTAAAGATTTATTTTTAAAATATATTTTCTAGATAAATCACACTGAAAGAAAATATTGGATTCCATCCAGTAGATATAAAATTGCTCTCTCCTGCCCTTAAATGTTGAAATAAGTTGCAAATTACTATAAAGAAAACTATTATTATATTATTAGCTACTCTAGTTCTGAGTAAATGTATAGGTAGCTTTTTGTGTTATAATTTAATAAAATTATTTAGCCACAAGGGATAATTTACCAAAGCAAGCTAATGTAAACAGAGCAACAAAAACAAATGAAGCAAAGTAAATAACAACTGTAGGAAACAGATGTATACATGGCTACAATACACAGGGGAAGCAATGCTAATGACTTTACTATCAAACAATATTCAGTGTGTCAGCACTAAAGAGAGGTAACTATATAGTTTTCATTTATCTAAGACTGTTATTGGTGACAGTTAATTATATCTTTATAACAGTAACTTGTGAAAAAGCAAAATAAAGACACTGCTGTAAGGCACAGAGCTTGCTGTTGGTGGTAATAAAAATTGTGTAATGACAAATTTAGAAAAAAGCAATCTTATATAAAAAGAAATGAAGGCAGGTTAAATGCATATGGGGGCACAGTAAAATTTAAGTTTTTGAAGTTATTAAAGTTCAATTAGTTTTTGAAAAAAAAATTATTGGTTAGATGTTGCAATGAAATAAATTTTCTACTATTAATAAAATGACATTAAGAAAGTGGCTGATGTAAAATGATAGAAATCTTTTAAATGAATTCCTGACATAATAGGTTTGCAAGAAAAATCACAAAACTAACACAGACAACATTGTTTCTTTAAATATCATTATAAATGAATACAATTCACATTATATTTTACTTTCAAAACATTGGTTTGTTCTCTTCGTTTTTAATAACAAATGAATGCAGCTGTTTGTTTTATTAAAACAAAATAAAGGGTTTGTAAATACTAAGTACACCAGTTTTCAAATTTTAATATATCCCTAGAGTGGCGAGGAATCCAAACTTACTCTGTATCAGATGAGAGGCTGCCATTGTGGGTTAAAACTTGAATTGCTTGTGTGGGTTGTCTTGTGTTGTAGGGGAGGCTATCAGATCTCAAGGGAGGTAATACAGGTCTGTCTGTAATTTTTGGTAGTAAAAAAACATTTGAAAATAAATTGTTTTTTTTTTTATTAAATAGTCTTAGATACTAAACATAATTTTTTTTTATTATTAAAAATTGTCACAAGTTATTTTTTTTAAAAGTTTCAAACCATTACTCACTAGACTGCTGTAGTGCTGAGAGAGTGACATCGGGAGGATTTATCAGCTGTGATTGTGAGCCCATCATCCTGGCATCTGGACTGTGGTCTCTGTCTATCCTCTCCAGTGGGTGATCTACAAGAAAAAAATGTATTATATTTTAAAGCATTACCTTTGAAGTAAATGAAATTTTTTAATAGAAGGTGTAAAATATATTTTTTCATCTAATGACATAAAAATTTAACCATTTTCAGCACATCAGAGTAAGTAAATAAATAAAATTTATTTTTAAAATTATTTTAGCTGTCAAGAATACCTCAGAAAAAAATGCTTATTAATTATTATTTTTAGATTTTCCCACTACAGAAACGATTAAGTAATTTAAAAATATTTTATAATGATACAAAATGCAGATTTTCTGTGGGCTTCCCACCATGTTAAATAGAATGAAAAAGGGTAAACCACCAACCATCATCAAAGTCAATATTTCCTAAACGCTCTCGTTCCTTCTCCTTTTTCTTCTTTTCCAGTTGTTCTAATGCTTGCTCTAAAACATCAAACAAAATTGTAGAGATTCAAACATATCTACAAGAAATGTTCATTACAAGAAATTATTAATTTTCCAGTTGTTCTAATGCTTGCTCTAAAACATAGCACATCAAACAAAATTGATTCAAAAATATCTACAAGAAATGTTTATTACAAGAAATAATTTCATCATGTGGAGCTTATGAGGCAAATCTACACACTAGAATTTCAAAAGTTAGAATTTTATATTTACACAATAATTGTATACAAATATAACACATTTAAAAAACAAACTAAAACTAAATGTGTTGATAGTCATGCAACAGTACACACTTCACTTACCAACTACTTTAGTTTTGGGCACTTGTTTCTCCCACCCAGGGCCAATGTCAAACTCATCGTCTTCATCAGAGGAGTGGCTGGAGGCAAGTTCAAGGCTGTTTCTGTCCATGCTGGCGTCACTGTCTGAGTCAGAGTCATCTTTGTCTGCGCCATCACACTCTGGAATGTTTTAGAATGGCATAATATACATATTTACTTCAGCGCATGCTTTGTTAAAATTCTTTTCACATTTCTTTGGAAGATTAATCTTTATAATTTATCGACTGGATGAATGATTAAAGTTTACATTTGTTTCAGTGTATCAACAAACATGCAGAGTTTAATATGAATGTTAATTACTGTTACCCATCATTTAAAAACAAAAATACTTTTTAAAAATCTCATATTATAAGCCAAACACATGTAGATACATTTTTAGGAATTAATTAGATAAGAAATTTAAGAAGGATGGCATGGTTGGACGAGAGTGTACATGATGGCTAACTCTAAAAAACATAACAAAGGCAAATGGGGCTCCGTAATTGGGGATGGAAACCAAGCTAGGACTGAATAACTCCCAAAATTAAACAATTGCTGCCTTGCAGACTGTTCTTGAATGGAAGCAAATCCAGAAAGTTAAGTATGCTAACGTCAACTGGATATTTAGCGTATAACATGATATATAATTTTCCAAAATAACAATTAAAGAATGAAAAAAAGGAAATTTAAGGTTTAATAAATTGAGATACCTTCCTGAACTTTGTCCTTGAAAGAAGATTCATAGTTATACGCCCTTGGAGGGACACCAGGTCCATCAGAGGTGGAGCTGCTGGTGCTCTGCAGATATTTGTCTCCCTTGGCAAGATGGCTACTCTTGCTAGACTGAGACGTGGTGGATGTTGTGGAAATCCCAATACTGTTGATACGCAGCGGACTTTCTTTTGCTGAGTCATTGCGATAAGCTAACGCAGAACGCTGGGAAAAAATAACATTTACTTTGGGAAAAAATAATATTTACTTATTTCATAACTCTTAACAATGTAATAAAGATTCAGTTTTATGAATGTAAATTTTTACTGGCTAAAAAAAACGAAGCAAGTACTTTATAGAAACCTTTTCGTTTAAAACTATCAAGTTTAATATAAAAAAAAACGGTAACTACTTACTGAGTGGTGCATTGAGCTTCTGGCTGAAGACAAATTTTCATCAAACTCAACTTTTTTACCCTTCATTCTGTAGTAGAATCTCTTTGCACACAATCTGACCTGTCATAGTTTAAAACAAATTGTGGTTAGTTAAATACAAGTTTAAAACTTTCTAACAAACAAACTTACTTAAAATTTAACTTCACACAATGTACTATCTTTTATAAGTAAGAAAGTAAAGATATTATGGAGGTGATGTACCTTTTTATTGAACAAGATGTAGACTAAGAATATAAAAACTCCCTCAAAGAAGATGAATACGGCATGTATGTAGTGAAGGGCCATAACTCCAAAGTTAACTGTGAGAAGTCCCAGTATCCATGTTACACTCAACAGAAATAGGAGAAAGATGGCTGACAACAGTCCAAATCTGAAACAAATTCATACATTCACCATTAATAAAAGAAAACAAATTAAGACTAAGGGCTACATATTCAAACATTTTACTGTTACAGTTTCGTGTGTTGGAAGTTTAGGTAAATTGGATTAGAGATAGTTCTAGAAAGTGTTATATGATTTGTGAATGTGTGCTTTGATTGTGCTGTGATGATTTGTTAATGTGTGCTTTGATTGTGCTGTGTTATATGATTTGTGACTGTGTGCTTTGATTGTGCTGTGTTAGATGATGTAGAAGGGGGGACAGTGATGTGAAAGTGAGAAAAGTATTGTAAATGTGTGAGTAAATAAGTAGTTTCTAGCAGTTGGTAAATCTTTAGTTGTCTATGTGGAAATAATGTGGGAGAAGAGCGTTAAGTGTTTTAAATGTGTATTTCAAAAGAGTATTGCCTAGCAGTTAAGTCTTTAGCTGTCTGTGTGAAAGAATGTGTTGCATTCCAGTCATGTCTTAAACTGATGGTGTAGTGACCCAGCTTAACCCTATGGTGGAAATAATCTAACATTTGAGACAAAAAGACCAACCTGATAACACTGACATCTGAGACTGGAATTTTCTCGCCACAGCTGGCTTTGGCAGCAAAGAAAAAGGTAATCACATTGATCTGGAGGGAAAGAAATCATATTCTTTAATGTCAAGTAAAGTGAAGATAAGAGCTATTATACAAATAGTTATGTAAAAGATTACATACCACAATAACAAAAGCTATTGGCCCAGCAAAGCTCCATATAAAAGTTTCAGAAGTCGACAGCCAACAGCTGTAATAGAAATTTTAAAATTTTGTTAAATAAAACAAAAATTTTACTCTCGATTATATTACATCTCTAAACCTGATGTTAAAAAACATAACACTTTGAAAACGCATGAGTAAACACTGTTTCTCTAAATGAAACCTCTTCATATAAAAAGATTTAAATGTCAGCACATGACTTACAAACTTGGGTTCCCATAGGCTTCTGTATAGAGTCCCACTGCCAATCCCACAATTATACCAGGCAGTACTGTAGAAATATTACTCAATGTCAACATCTTGGTATAAAACTATGTTGAATGTGTCAATGTAAAAGATTTATCTATTATTTAATTCTTGGTAAAACAGCTGGTTAAATGTTTTAACATGTTAATTGTTTATCATTTAATTAATTAATTTATAATTTAAAAACATTGAATGTGATTGAAAGTGACATGTTTATCAGTTAATCAATTCTTGATATAAAGATCCCTTTGTCTTTGAAAATCTGCACTTGTAAAATACTTGGTAAAAGCAAAGAAATCAACCAACCATAGCCGAGAAGGTAATAGAACTTCATAGAGCCGTAGTTAATGGTCTGTTTCTCAGTCAACATGCGATAGATGTGGAGCATTTCAACAAACAACCAGGCAAAACATGCCATGTAGAAGTAGTGCAAGGAGATGGCTATCAGCCTACAGAACAACTGGTGACCAGACAAGCACAAATGTTTTAAGGTGAGTTTTTTTTTTTTAAATCAGTTTTTATCATACTTGTTCAACGAAATTGACTGAAATTTCTTTTAAGTTAACTACAAAATTTGGAATATTTCTTATTTTTTACTATGTAATTTGGGTATTGCTTATATTTCTAACAACTTAATTTAGAATATTGCTAATATTATGATGTAATTCATAGCTGCTTATAATATTAACTACTAAAGAATTTTGCTTATTTTACCATGTAATTCAGAATATTGCTTATTTTTCACTAACTACCTTATTTAGAAAATTGCCTATATTACCAACTACTTAATTTAGAATATTGCTTACATTATTAACAATGTAATTTACAATTTAGCTTATATTACTAACTAAATAACAGTTGCTCATATTAAAATGTTAATTTTAACAAACAAGAAATGTAAAATTAAAGTAGTTGATTTTTAATTTTATTTTACATAACTGCTAAAACTTCATGCCATCATGCACGAAATCTATTTTATGCAAAATCCTCCATTCAAGAGACTTTGTTTCTGGTGCATAGCATTCTTTTAATTTAACCCATAAGAGTAATGCACAAGCAGAATTAGAAATGTTTAAATATGTGTCCTCTCATCCCACCACTCACCTCGGGTGAGGTCTTGTTGATCCCTATCACATAGGCCAGGTCTACGATGAAGATGGAGAAGATGATGTTGATGCGGATGCTGTTCCAGTTGCACTGGAGTCTCTTGAAGGTGAACAGGGCAAAGAAGGAGACCAAGAGCAGGATCAGAGATATGGCGGTCAGCACGTAGGTCACCGCCTCCATGTCCATTATAGCCGGGAGCAGAGCCTGGAGGATGGGAGAATGCAGTTAGTCTTTGGGGACAGACTTGGGGGACAGGTAAATTTAGGTTATTCCAATTCAATAACAGCAGACAATAACAGAAACTCAGCATATAGTCTTGGGAGGGGTGGGGGTGGGGGGCAGACATATTTTATACAAATTTATTTTTTGTAAATACAATAATTTGGCATAACTAATAACTTTTCTCGGGGAACAGACACATATTTGTATAAATGTTATTTTTGGTAAACACAATAGCCTAGCACAACTTGGTAACTTTTCTTGGGGAACTGTCCAACATTCGTATAGGACTGTGAACACAATGTTCTAAGTTATCACAACTCTACATCTGTTAAGCAGGTAGAAGTGTAAGAGAAGTTGATTATAGCTTACAGTTCCGTCAGCTACGTCGATGATGATGGTGTAGGTGGAGAGGTGATTGCATTCGCAGGTGACGTAGTATTCCTCACACTTGTCGGATGTGACAGTAATTTGACAGCTGGTGGTTTTTGTTCTACAGCCAGATGCGGTCCACATGCCAGAACTGAATTAAAAAAAACAACAAGCACTTCAGTAGACGCCATCAAGGTTACTTAAACATTTTATTAGGCATTTAGAGAACAGTCTCTGGCCATCTCTCCTCACCAGGTCTCTTGTTCACAGTAGCTGCCAGATGTAAACACACTCACCAGTGGTTCTTAACCTGGGTTCAATTGAACCCCCAAGGGTTTTGGTGAGTCAGTCTCAGAAGTTTAAGACATACATAGCGGAGGTCAAGACATACACCTGACTCCTATAATTCACGATTGGTGAATGCGAATATGACACTGATGGGGTTCAGTACCTCCTAAAAGGTTAAGAACCACTTGCTTACAAACTACACATTCAAGGGATATAACTGATATATGTAATAAAAGGGATGTAAAAATAACTTAAAGACATAACGAACACTGATAGAAAAAGAAATAGAAAATAAGTATTTCTATTATTATTATTATTATTAAGACTTACGCTTCATCAGAAGAGCTGGGCACCCATCTAACACAATTCATGTTGGTCCTGTTGTTAGGCAGGGTCAGCCTGAAGTTCAGGGTAACTGGGTCTGAGATGTAGCCTTGAGTTATGTTTTCCTTATCCGAGATGATCACAGAGAAAATTGCACTGTTCACTGTCAGAGGTCTGCCTGTGCGTCTGATGAAAAAGAAAATATTTTTTTTTTTTAAATGGCATGATAAATGAATTAAGTTAAAATCACAAGCAGCATAATTTTTAAAAATACAAAATAGTACCTTATACTGGAGTCAACGTTCATGCTAACATGTTTTCCAAAGTCTCGATAAACCACATAACCAAAATAGGCTTTAGCTGTTTCTGGATTTGTCACACTGCCAGTACCTGTATCAAAAGGTTAAGGGTTATGGCTTAACACATACATTGAGTAACATTTGCTTGCTGTCAACAAAGTCTTATTAGATCTACACAATTATTTGACACAAAAAAATTAATTCATATACAACAATTCAGATTTACTAAATTTAACAATTAAAAATGAATGAATGAATGTTAAACCTGATTAACCAATGAAAATAAATTTTACCAGCAGCAGACGTGGCAAACAAGGATGCCGGGAAGGTAATAGAAACTTCTTTGTCCACCGAGCCTTTCTTGACGTTGTTGTCGTATTTAGGAATGGTGGCGCCACTGAAGTTGTAGATGTTCAGCCAGTCTGCACCCAGCACTGAATTAAAAGAAATAGAATCATTTTTTTAATTCACCATTTTAATTGAGTAACTGACCCATAAACTATCCTTCCAAAATGGAGACAACATCAAACTAGATTATAATTCCTAGCCACAGGCACATAGACACAAAAAATGATAAAGTCACTTACTCATATCAACAGAAAATGTTAAGGCTTGGATCAATTACAAACATCAACAGAAAATAAGATTTGTATCACTGACACATAACAACCAAAAAAAGACAAGATTTTAATCACTTACCCATATCATCAGAAATTGACAAGAATTCAATCACTTACCCATATCATCGGAAATTGACAAGATTTTAATCACTTTCCCATATCATCAGAAATTGACAAGGTTTTAATCACTCACCCATGTTATCAGAAACTGACAAGAATTTAATCACTTACCCATATCATATAATCACTTACCCATATCATCAGAAATTGACAAGAATTTAATCACTCACCCATATCATATAATCACTTACCCATATCATCAGAAACTGACAAGAATTTAATCACTCACCCATATCATCAGAAACAGCCTCAAAAGTTCCTGACTGAGCTTGAGGCAGGAGCTGAACAGTCTTGGTGATGAACTTGTCAAACAAGTTCATCAGACGGGTGGCTCCACCTGTCAGGGCGTTGACCTGCTGCCAGTACTGGGAGTAGCTTTCATCTGTCACGTTGCTAAGGACAACCAGCAGTTTCTAGTAACACAGAAAACACATTTTAAATTTGTTACCTATTTACAATAAATGATTTGTTTGTTATTGTAATTAACAAGTAACATGTTACTTAACTCTAAAAAATGAAGGTTGTAGAGTGGCAAATTTTATATTTTAAAAAAAAAATTGTAATTAAGGAGAGTTACAATAACAATTGATGGAATGGCATGGATGGGAAGTAGAGTGGTTGATTGCTAACTGAAATCTAGAGTTCAGATGTCAGACAGAAATTTATAGGATGTCCCTAGGTCTACCCAGCTCTGATGGGTACCTGACTTATGGAAAGTGAATAACAAATGAGCATAGTGATGACCACACTATCCTTTCATACACCTTGGTCACAGAAGCAGGTGAACTCTATTTGCCCTAAGGTTGACTGACCAGGAGTAGGGTGGGAGGTATAAAACACAGGTATTGTATAATCAGGAGTAGGGTGGGAGGTATAAAACACAGGTATTGTATAATCAGGAGTGGGGAGATGGTAAAAAACCCAGATAACTTTTCACCTGTACAAAATCCCTATATTTTTGACTGATCAGGAGTAGGGAGGGGGGGGGGTATAAAACCCAGGTAACTTCTCACCTGTACAAAATCCCTATATTGTTGACTGATCATCCCAAGCCCACTCTGGGAGATCTCGTAGTTGAGGGTGATGTTGGTGAAGCGGAACACGGTCAAAATGTCTCCCCCGTAGATGGGTGTGGTGGTGTAGGACACGTTCTTCAGCTGAGTCAGTGTGTAGTCGGCTATGTAAGGGCTGATGTTGCCGTTTTCAAACTCAGATATCTGATAAAACACATTCGAAAAGAATAAATTACTATGCAGAAATTTTTTTTCTGAAAAGTTTTTATTGCACAATAAAATAAAATATTTAAATCTGAATTTTGAAAACTGTTAAAAATAAAACAGAATTACAGGTTCCAACAAAAATAAGTAATGTAACCAAAATACAACATAAACCAAATTAGAACAAATAGCTAATAAACCTGATTGTTGTATTTGAGATAACTGTTGCTGGTGCAACCAAATAAATCCGGCTGTAACCAACTGTGTTTTTCTGTACATTTTCGTTTGGCAGTCCCTGTAATTACATTTTATAAAAATAAGCATAACTGATATGTATAAATGAAACATTACAAATTTTCAACTCTTTAAAAAAATGTTTAAAAAAGAACCTTACCAGTGGCTCCATCTGGACAGTCCTGCTGTGCCTCCAGCCCAAAAGTGATTTGATCCCACCAGATGTTTGATGCATAGTTTCTAGGACATTCCTCGTACAACACTAGACAAAATTATAACAGATATTATAAGGAAAAATGTTGGGGCTTTTAAAAAAACAGGCAGGACATCTGAACTAAATGTGCTAAAAGTTTTTTCTGTCTGTTTCTGTGAGATGGTCAGGATTATGATTAAGATTAGGGTCAGTACTCAGGTTTTGATTAGAGTAGATACTAACAAAGATTTAGTCTTAAATACAACCTGCCAGAAATTAATAGGTATCGAAATTATTAAACACCTATAATGCTGTTCCATTAAAACATAATTTTAATTTTTTTTTTTTTTAAATTAACTAAACAATTCTCAAAAAAAAAAAAAACCCCTAAAACTAAGGATTTCTAGTATTTCAAATAGACGTTTTTCTACAGATTTCAAACATTTAAATTTTATAGAACAATTTTATTTATTTTTCTTTACAAAGCGAAGGACTATAATTCCTACAACTAGTGCTTATAAGAGTACTCAGTGATAACCCTAACATTCTCAACTAAGAGACAAATTCAAGTCCTTACAAATTTTAGACAAATTACTCAGCATTCTTCTCACCCCTGTAGCTTTTATTTTTAGTGTTGACCATTCCAATAGAAAATTATCTTAAACGACTTACCATGGCAAGTGACCACCTCCTGGTAATGAGTCTCGTTAACCTTCTTCATCACCTTCTCCACAGCGGCAAAGATGCTGTCACACTGGTCACAGCGCCGGCCAACGACCCCGTCATAACACTCACACTGACCAGTGGTTGGGTGGCACGTGACATCCTTGGACCCAAGTCTGTAGCAGTCACAGGGGAAACAGGTGTCACTGTTGGCTGGCAGGTAATGCAATGCCTGTAGGGTGACAATAATAACAATACAGACATGATTTTTATGTATTTTACTTTAAATAATTTCATTAAATATAAATAATAGGTACATATTTTATTTATTTTTTAAAATCAGCTGAATAACAAAGGAGGAATATTTATTATTTTTTTTAAAGTGCAAGATTAATGGAACAAAAATGTTTTTAAACGTTTTTAAAAGTTTTTTTAAAATTTATAATAATTTCTAAAATAGTGTTTAAGACATCAAAGGTATTTTTTTAAAAATCTGTGTTGATAATGAAACCTAATTTATTTTATTTACTTTAAATATTAAGTAGTTTAAAAATAATAAATAAAAAACATGTTTTCGCTCAATTATGCTATTATCTGATGGCAGGATCAACATAAAACTATTAGTAACTGGAACTACCAAACAGCACATATTAAAAAACACCAGTCTCACCTTACAGTTACAGGTACCATTATCCTTGTTACAGGTGTTCTCAAAACCCTTGTCAGACCTACAGTTGCAGGGTCCACAGATGGGCTTCCCCCACCATCCCGCTGGACACGTGGCCGGGGCCTGGTACTCGCAGTACTTGCCGCTCTGTCTGACCCCACACTCACAGGTGTAGGAGCTCTGGCCTGGCGCTGGCTGCTTGCACTCTGCCCAGTTCTTACACGGATTGTAGTTGGTGCAGATCTCAAGACACTTGGGCCCAATCGTGCCTGAAATAAAAAAAGTGGTTTTATTACATTATAGTAATCAGCTGTGTTGAGAGATGGGGTCAGATACTAGAGCAACATATGGCTCTTCTCAACTTCCTGACCAGGTTACACCTTAATTTCCAAGGCCTAATCATTCAATCGTCTACTAGATTATAGAGTAATTTAATATTAAGCATCCTGGTATAAGTGTGACTTAAAATTCAGAAATATCTAGGAGACCTTCAACACAAAATAGTAAAATACTGCAGTCAATTATACACATTTTTTGCCACAATCTGTAGTAAATAGTCCATTTATCTTCCTTGCAGATTCTTACAAAATTCATTTTTAAAAATTATGTCCCAGTAAGCAGTGTGGGCGTAACAAGTATGAATACTTAATTGTAAGTAAATTAGAAAATTTTGAAAAATTAAAATTTTCACATAACTTATAAATTGTAGTTAGCATTAATTGTACAAACAATCTTTAAATAATTTCCTGTGCAAAAGTTTATATTATTTGACATATATTGACCAGACCTTACCTGCTGGACATTGACAGTTGTAGCTCTTCCACACATCGACACACTGACCAACACCGCAAACATCCTGGTTACACACTTGACCCCCACTACAGCCCTGCTCAACATATGACCTTACCTGCTGGACATTGACAGTTGTAGCTGTTCCACACATCAACACACTGACCAACACCACAAACATCCTGGTTACACACTTGACCCCCACTACAGCCCTGCTCAACATTGTTGCTGACTGGGTTCTGTAGGAAGGACTGGGCTGTGTTCCCTACCCGAATATCCTAATGGATGGAAGCAATAAAATTTACATGACGGCCATATATTTCTTGTGACACATAGTTAACATTATTAACATTACTACAAAATACATTTTGAAATAATAGTAATAACTTTATTTAAAAGTGATATCAACAGTAGGCATGGAGACTTTTTTCACATTGGCCATATTTTTAAAGAAACATATCATTTTAATAATGAAAAAAAAGCAATTAATTAGTAAACATATAGCAGTAACATAGTATTTAAAATTTGGAATAAAGAAATAATATTACATAGTTATAATACAATGGTTATCTAAGAGATGAATGAAAAATGTTGCAAAATGAGTCAGTTTGGGAGGTCATGAAATAGTTGGGGTTTTTTTTAGTTTAGTTTTGAATATATTTTCAGATACAGATAGTTTCATTTTTATTAGGAATATTGTTGTAGTCATTGCTTACCTTCACACATCCAGTGAAAAACTTGTCCATTGGTTTGTTCCCATCCCTGAAAGCCCCCACATAGACAAGCTGGATCTCTTTACCAATGACTGAGGTGGATGTGTTGAACTTCTGCAAAGGGAGTTAATTTTAGTAAAATGTAAAGATACTTTCAGTGTATGAATGCTCATGGTAACACAATTCTGTATTAGAAAACAGACTATGCTGGAATCTCCACCTCTTTATTTTTTTTTGGATGGACAAAATTTTTGAAGCAAATAACTACTAATCCAAGGGCTAGTCACAGAATAGTTTTCTCAAAAAGGCAATAAGAATTTTTTTTTTAATTTCTCTGAGAGTTATGGAACTTATCTAGTAGTAATTGTATGTTAACAACTTACCCATTCATACTGCCCATAATCCAGGAACATATCAATGTTGCCCTTATCAAACCACCTCACTTCAAAGTAGTGCCACTGGCCATCGTCCACTCTAACATTGGTGAGTGACGCCACCGTAGACAGGTAATTGTACCGAATATAGCCATCAATGATCTGAATCAAGAATAAATAAGTATTCAGAATATTTAAAGACTGTCCTTGAACAAAAAAGTTGTTCTGGTAGATATAAAACATGATTAACTTACTTAAGTTTTAAAACATCTTACATGGAAATAATGAAAATAATGATGCACACTGTTTATTTTGAAAAATTGTGAATGAATGAAGAATAAAATAGTGTTCGCTATTTTGGCTTTTAAAGGCAGATAATCTATAGGGTTTTCTGTCTACCATCTGTGGTTATTACTTTAATCTCCTGACCCATTATCATTTAGCCTAGTTTTAACAAACCTGTAAAACAACGTCCCCAGAATTGAGAAGAATCTGCATGAGGACACCACTAGCTGATCTTGTTCTGAAGGCGATGCCGTTGAACCACGGAAAACGTATAACACTTGGGTTAGTATAAGACAGGTATCCATTGCCATTCAACTTTCGGGAGATTTCAATAGCTGTGAAATATGAGGTTTGATATTTAAAAAGTGATAAATTTTTCAAGCTAAAAAATAAAAAATGTTAATATAAAAGCTAAGATGTACCAATCATAGTGCTTAACTAATCAAGTTTAGGAAATCAAAAATTTTCTCCAAAAACTAAATTCTTTCTTTAGCAAATTTAAATAATCAGAACTTTTTTTTAAAATTGATGTTAAACAAAGTAAGAACATCGCTGCTAGGTTAAAGTCATAGTTAGTTGCACAAACCAAGAAAATATGACGTCACAGTCTCAAAACCTTTCGTTTACAAAGAAAATAATTACGTCTAAAGCCGTCGACACATAGCGCATCAAACGGCTTTAAAATAGATATCACGTGATTCCGTAACCCGTTTTAACTTTAGTCGGAACGACTTGATGCGGCCGCTTACGGCAGATTAATTTTTTCTTCAAGACCCCTTTTCTATATGTCAAAACAAAAGCCACTTAAAAAGGTAAGTTTTCAAAAATTGTATTAAAATATTTTAACACTCGGACTAGCTCTGTATTTGTTAGGATTATTTTAATAATCCATTTTTCTGCTTAAGTCTAATTTTTTGTAATATTTTACGCTTTAGCAGACTACGAACTTCGTCTCACAAAGCAATCCTCCGAATGACACTATTTAAACGGTATCGATACTTTTTAAACCCCTTTCCGCGCCGATTGATTGATTGTAAAATATAATAAATTTTATGACATTGACGCTTTAAAAAAAAAAGAATACTTACAAAATTGGAGTTTAAATGTTGCTAACGTAATTATCTTGTGTTAAATGTTAATACAAAACACATTTATACAAATATGTAACGTTTTGAAGGCCCGCTCTAGTTGTAACTAATTCGCTGTAATCATGATCGAACTGGGGATCGAGCTATTTAAATAAAATACTGTAAAAAGATACACACTTAAACTAAACATGGATTGAGTGTAGTATATTTATCTATTTAATTAAATGCACTAGTAGACTTCTTTTTGTTAATAATTAACAATGTAGAAAATATTGAAAATGGTCTCACAAAGTAGACCAATACTAGTAATATCGATACCGCTTAACACGCATCTCCGTTTTTAAGCCCCGAACTTCCTAGATAATTAATTAGCTCTAAAGGCTTTATACATGATTAATATTGATAAAATTAAAATAAGGGATTCAATTATTGTTTAAATTGTAAGGTTCTTGTTAATAAAACACCATATTGCATGTCTGTCAACCTATTAAGTAGGCCTATTAAATATACTATATATTTTAAAATAGGCATATCGTTGTTTTCGACTTACTAGCTTTTTATTACTCAGTTGTTCTTTTTAAGCACTCACAAACACACTAATTTTTGTTTAACTAATAACTGTAATAAATATATTAATATATTTAATATTATTAAAGCTTAATTAACTTTATTAAGCTTATAACTTGATATATTAGTAGTAACATATTTTTTGCGGACGTTACAAAAACACAAAAACCAGTCACTCTTTTAATTAGTGGTATCGATGCCCTTCTTCAAAAGGTCCGTGTATTTTTTTTTAATAATAAAATATATTATAAGCAGAACTATTAATTTTTTTTTAGCTATCCATTGTCAAAAATTAAATAGTATAACTATAATTAACTACTTATGATTTTATTATTTATAGGCAAGACAGAATGGGGAAGAAGAATGCCTTGAATGTAGTAAATCTCTATCAAAGGTATTCTGATGTAAGTGGTGAAGTGCGAATAGGCAATGTAGTTTATTTGTACTATATAAAAAATAAAAATATCTCCAAGGTACTTGATGAGCTATTAGATAGAAACAGACATATAAAAACAACAAAAAATTATTTTGCTAACAGAAACTCTGTAAACAGAATCATAAAAAAATTCATGCTCTTAAAATCAAACCCTGAAAGAAATTGGCAACAGTTGGTTAGTTATTTCAATGAACCTTATGTAGGAATAAACACACAGGCAACACCACTATCTGTGAGAAAAGGTTAAAGCTAAATTAAATAAAACAATGGAGTGGCTTGATGCAAAAAGTATCAATGAACAAAATCAGCTAATTGATTTTGCTATAACTGAAGGTGCTCGCAGGCGAAGATCACACAAAACCCAACAGCGAGAAATTGAAATCATACAAAGAAGAGAAGAATCAAGAAAGAAAATAAAGAAAGAAAGAAGTTAAAGATAGATGTTGATAAGTTGGCAAAAGGTAAGTTATTTATTAATGATGAAATATTCTGCAATGTGGAGACCAGACAAAAACAAGTGTTTGCTAAAATTATCAATGGAGAGGATATGACTGGCCAACTGCTAAAACACAAGTGGGAATGTATAAATGACAATGACACCTTGTTTTTTGGTAGAATAGTCTTAAGACTCACAGCTAGTGAGACAAAACTTGATAGATTTGTAATTGTTTATTGAAAGTTATTGGTCAATTGATGAGGAAAATAGTGAAGACTCAGAACTCAATGTAGCTACTTTAATAACTGATATGATCAGTAAGCATCTGTTGTTTGAGTTTTAATTTACAAGTTCCTTTAGAAGTTATATTGTACAATTTTTAATAAATGCAATGCACAAAGTTAGTCTCTTTATAAAACACAAGAATTTATATATACATTTTTGTGACTGCTCCTTGTTCAACAAAATAAAATTCTAAGTTCATGTTTGTCAATATCATAAATATATATCTAATAATAATATATGCATCTGATTCGCTTTTTTCGTACTCTCGACGTGACCAACTTTTGGTTTCATTCTCCATAGGCTTAGTTGTCCCCGCAATTTTTACACTAAAACCGTCATATCTAGAGAACCGTTTATCCAATAAACATAAGTTTGGTATTGTAGTCGCTTAGCTTTTATGGTGTCATGAACCAATACTCACTCTACCAGGACAGAACCAATACTCACTCTGACTACCAGGACAGAACCAATACTCACTCTACCAGGACAGAACCAATACTCACTCTGACTACCAGGACAGAACCAATACTCACTCTGACTACCAGGACAGAACCAATACTCACTCTGACTACCAGGATAGAACCAATACTCACTCTGACTACCAGGACAGAACCAATACTCACTCTGACTACCAGGACAGAACCAATACTCACTCTGACTACCAGGACAGAACCAATACTCACTCTGACTACCAGGATAGAACCAATACTCACTCTGACTACCAGGACAGAACCAATACTCACTCTGACTACCAGGACAGAACCAATACTCACTCTGACTACCAGGACAGAACCAATACTCACTCTGACTACCAGGACAGAACCAATACTCACTCTGACTACCAGGACAGAACCAATACTCACTCTGACTACCAGGACAGAACCAATACTCACTCTGACTACCAGGACAGAACCAATACTCACTCTGACTACCAGGACAGAACCAATACTCACTCTACCAGGACAGAACCAATACTCACTCTGACTACCAGGACAGAACCAATACTCACTCTGACTACTAGGACAGAACCAATACTCACTCCGACCACCAGGACAGAACCAATACTCACTCTGACCACCAGGACAGAACCAATACTCACTCTACCAGGACAGAACCAATACTCACTCTGACCACCAGGACAGAACCAATACTCACTCTGACCACCAGGACAGAACCAATACTCACTCTGACTACCAGGACAGAACCAATACTCACTCTGACTACCAGGACAGAACCAATACTCACTCTACCAGGACAGAACCAATACTCACTCTGACTACCAGGACAGAACCAATACTCACTCTGACTACCAGGACAGAACCAATACTCACTCTGACTACCAGGACAGAACCAATACTCACTCTGACCACCAGGACAGAACCAATACTCACTCTGACCACCAGGACAGAACCAATACTCACTCTGACTACAATCTTTTCCACCTGTCCTCTCTGGACAGTCACACAGGAAGGTGTTCCACCCCTCCCTGCATTGGCCTGAAATTTGTGTTTTAAATATATATTGTGACCACAAGTCAAGAGCTGACATTTCTACTTAAACACAAAATGTTATGAAATTCTACTTTGACAATTTTCAAACTGCTTGGACTACTGTAAATCCACTTTAACAAGGTTGGCATGGATGTGTTTTCAAACCTAGGTAATGGCATAATTTGATCAACATGATTGGGTGTAGTACTCCCCCCCCCCCCCACCCATCATTAATGCATGGTTTGATTATTGAACCCCCCCTCCCCCCCAAGTTTCATTAGAACTTGATTAGATGAGGTTACCCCCCCCCCCCACACACACACACACAAAACACACACAAGGTACATGAAAAACATAATTAGATGTAGTTACCCCTTGCACACCACACACAAGGTATGTAATTACCCCTCCCCCCCATATGTATCAGATACACAACATGAATAGAGCCTTTACCCCCAAGCTTGCAAGGAGCAGCTTCACATCTGGGTTCCTTAGGAGCACAGCCCACAGTGGTGGAGAAGTCAGCTATGGAGGAGTCCAGATCAATCAGCTTGTAGTCGATGTAAATATCTGAGATACAGCCGATGAAGTCCGAGCTGCTGACCTGACTACTGCTGGGCCTCACAGGCATGCCACCAATCTGTAGAGGTCCGGTTAGGTCCAGGAGACGGTTACAATCTTTGATTGGATTGTCACACCTGAAAAAATTAATTAGTCGATAATTGATATAGTGACAAAAGTTTTTATAGACAAGTTTTCTCCTTGACCCAATGTGAAAAAAAAATCTCTGTGGTTTTCAAAACAAAATAAAATAAATGGTTAGAGAGTTGCTATAAAAATTTTTAAATGGTTGCTATTAACTTAATAGCAGCATCATTTTTTACTTTCTCGTATATACGTAGTATAGAGAAAGTATTGTAATCGTGCAAAAAAAAAAAAATCGAGATTTTTACAAATCTCGACGTTTTACACCTCACTGATACGGAAAAACATAATTTTGCAATCTTGTCCGTATGTCTGTGTGTGTGTGTGTCTGTGTGTCTGTGTGTGTGTCCGTGTGTAAACACGATAACTTGAGTACCGTTACTGCTAGGTTGATGAAATTTCATATATAAGTATTTTATCAAAATCGTAGATCCGTATCAACTTTTGAGCGATTTCCGATAACCGGAAGTGGTACTTTTTCTACTTTGAATTTTTCAAAAGCCTATAACTTGAGTACTATTTCAGATAGATAAATGAAATTTCACATGTAAGTAAAAGATCTAATTCTTTACCTTCTGTTAAATTTTGAGTAATTTCCGTTGACCGTAAGTAGTAATTTACGCTACTTCCGATTTCTCAAAAAACTAATGTAAATTTTAAAAGTACTAATAATATTGCGCACTATTATGCGTTTTTTTATATATCGCGTTCACTTGGTGTGCAATTAATTTGTCTACGAGATTTTATTCTATTTTTAAAACTTTAAGTATTTAAAATGGATTAAAAATCATGTCTATAGCCCGAGTTCCCATCCCCTGTTATTTTATATAAAAATATTCGAGAAAGTTTAGGGGAGATCACTCCCGGTTTATTCCAATTGGTGCCATAGATAACTGTGGCAGATGAAGTAAGTTCATATGTTTTAACGACATTGGCATACAAGGGGATACAGCACTATACCCAGCCGCCTTAGTTTCCCTAACATGCATCAGGTCCCTATTAAAGCAAGATGGACTAGGGATGTTGTACAGACTCAAAATCAGGATCCGAACTATTGACATTAGGGTTAGCAGTTGTAAGCTCTACCATTTGACTTCATCATCCCCCACCTGCCTATCATAGTCTAGTCATCAAAACAGAAAATGTCTTTTACATTTAACACCATCTAGATAATTATTGTATTTTTATAGTAAACAATTGAAGATATTAACACAGAATTTAATAACATTGAGGAATTTCTTTAAATTGATAAAAGATAAGAATAAATTAATTTCTTTTATTTATGGCCTGTTTTTATTACAGCGCTACAACTATTTACCCTTATAAGTTCATTAATTTATTTTTTCAAATACGTCAATATGTCAGTCAGGGCAGCTTTAGTGTCCCCTGAAATTCTGGTGTTTAACATACAGTCTTTAATACGTTATCAGATTTGTCACATTTTGGACAACCCGTCCATAATAAGTCTTATCCGGGCTCAGAAGTTGAGCTGCCTTATCTCAAGTTTTCTCAGCCCAAACATGCCTACACAAACAGCTGGAAGAATTTCAGAGCAGGATTCAAGTTTTACAGCGTGCCCCACTTGTGCCTGGATAGGTTTGTTTTTTTACACACACTGTTTTATAGCTTGTCTGTTTGGACACTCTTCTGTTACTTTAAACCTCCCCCCCCCCCAAAAAAAAAGAAGATTTCATGTAATAAATAAGTGTGAACTGGTGAACTGCTAAAGTGTTGGCTCCTTTCTCCTGATAATTTAATTCATTCAATCTGTCCATTCCTTAAATCTGATTGACATTTAACCAATCATTTATATTTTTCAATTCTATTATATTTTTTTATTTTATTATATTATTTTTATTCTATTATAAATTTTAAGCAACAAGTTATTTTACTGTCCCTGTCAAGGAGAATTGTATGTTGTAATTGTCAGTTTAAAAAAAAAGTGTACCTTAGACAAGTGAAATTACTAGCCTGGGCCAAAGCATAACTTTGATGAACATAAAACTATTCATGTTTATTATTAATAATATTAAAACTGTATTTAGTGAACATGTTTACAATTAGTTTTGTTCAGAAGTAAGCTCAATACTTTAAAATCTTTAAAAGGAAAGAGGCTTAACATTTTGTTTTTTAAAAACTGAAAAAATTATATTTCAAAATAAAAAATTACTTAATTGTATTTTAACGAGAGATTTATCAAAAACAAAAAACAAGACATAAACTAAAATGTTTAAAATTAATGATTTTAAAAAATGGTAAAGCTTACACATTAGAGAGGACATGTTCCACCCTAGCAGCACATGAGTAGGGCCCCAAGCTGCTGATGAAGTTGATCTCTATCTCTGGGTCACAGTCTACCCCCACAGACACTGTAGCTTTCTGTAGATGATTCACAGTAATACTCAAATAGATGTACAGAATTTACAGTAACACTTAAATACATGTACAGAGTTCACAGAAACACTCAAATAGATATAGATAATTCACAGTAACACTCAAATAGATGTACATATTTCAAAGAAACACTCTAACAGATGTAATTATTCACTGTAACACTCAATAGGACAATTGCAAACTTTTGACCACATGGTCAATTAGCTAAGTTACAAGTCACAAATGAGTCTCATCAGTAGAGATTTTTAATTAAATGCTACAATATCATGACAATAGGGGATTGGGGTAGTGATATTCTAAAGAAACATACTTACAAGTATCTTGAATTTTTTTTTTAAATATTTTAATTTAAAACTAAGTATTGTCGTGTGTGTGCAAATACATTTTTAATCCAATAAACACAGCTTTTGGTTATGCAAATATTTAAAAAGTATTATGTATAAACTGATCTAATCCACTATTTTAACCAAATAAATGTCTACCCACCCTGGACACGTATTCCAACTTGACAGTGACCCACTCCCCTGTGCTGACCCCACCCTTGACGTTGGTGGTGACGGAGTCTGTGATGTTGGAGCCCAGACAGAAAGAAAACCTGATCTGTGAGTTGACTATCTCCAGGGCTATGAAGTCGTGTTCACCGTTGAACCTCCCATTGTACAGAAGAAGGCCATTTTGCTCTTGTGTGGCAAAACTAAAAAAAAATTTAAAAAAAAAAAGATTTAAATTTAAGAAACAAATTATAAACAATGTTTCATAGAAACTAAAAAATAATTTGCTTTAAATTTAAAAAACAAATTATATACAATATTTCTCAGAAACTAAAAAACAAAAATAGAAACAGATTTGAATTTAAAAATCATAAATTATAAACAATGTTTCTCAGAAAGAAAAAGAAAAGAATTATGAACAATGTTTCTCAGAACCTAAAAAAAAATTATATCTTGACAGGGTAAAAACATTACATCTTGGCAGTGTAAAAAAAAATGTGAGTGAGATGGTTTTTTTTTAATTAAAAAAAAAAATTAAACTAGCCCTTACAGGGGGCTTGTATTGTATCAATTTAATTAAGTTTTCAGCACCATTTTTTTTAAATTAATCTTTTGGCAAAAAGGTGAAGAAATTTTTTTTTTTTCTGCAGTGCAATGATCTTTTATTATTGCATTAACCAGGGGGGATTTTCAATTCACTTCAAGTAAAAATCAATGTACAGAGTACAAAACCCAATACCAGTTGTTTTTTTATGAACAAGGTACATTAATACAAACAGAGGCGTAGCGAGGGGGTGGCGGGGGGGGGGGGGGGGGGGGGGCGGACCGCACCATTAAGGGGGGTGACACCAAGGCAAAAAATAGCAAAATATATAGAGAAAAGCTTGAGGGGGGGGGGTGCAAATCGAAAATCGAGGGGGGGGGGGTGACACCATTAAGTGCCGCACCGGGTGACACCCGACCTCGCTACACCACTGAATACAAACCTTTTCAGAGAGTACTACTACAGTGAAATTTAAATAAAAACAAGCTTTAATTAACTTGATATTTAACCCTTATACCTTAAAAAGTCTAAAAATTAAGAAAATCAAAATAACTGACGCAAAAAGAATGAAGATTTTCAAATAGACTTTCTAAGTTACAAAACACAAAACATAAGCCTATAAAAAATATAAATTGATGCAATGAGGACTGAATGAAAATTTCCAAATAGATTTTTTGATAAATTTCTAAGTAATTTTTTTAAATCAAATCTGTTCTAGTAAATAGAATATTTGCCCTGATAACTTACAAACACAACACAGAAACCAAAAAAATAATGTAATAATTGATGGGAGGGGACTGGGTGGAAGTTTCCATTAGGGAGCAACAAATGCCACGAAGAAGCCACAAGAGAGCTCTTGTCCAACTAATTATATTTTTTTTTTTTTGGAAGCAGACGTGAGCATCATCAGATGCTAACAAAATTATTGAATGCTAATCTAAAAATAGAAAAGAGGGCCATGCATACAAAGTATTTTTTTTATCACACTTCCCCCCAAAAACTATAATGTTATAAATGAGGAATATATTTTAAATTATGTTCATCTACTTTTTTCGTTGAATATTGTTTTCGTTAAAGTGTGAAAATTGACAACAAATAAGTTCGAGTTTTCCGCCCAGGGGATGTCACCCAGGAAACGTCTGCTTTTGTAATTCAATCACTTTGACAACGCTCGTCTGCTAACACGACACGTTGCGATAACTCCAGGAGACGAGTTTGAGTAAGAGGTTCGTATCGATTCGTCTTTGTGAGTGCTGTCCCTTTAAATATCTTTCAACATTCGCGTGAGTCATTCTTTTCCAGATTTGAAAAAAAAATACAGTAAACACGCGCTTTTTAGTGCAGATAGAGTGAGCTCTGCAGTTATAAGAAAACATGGCTAATTTGGACCTGTTTATTTGTCTCTTGATATTTTGATACGGATTAAAGTTATTTTCAATGTTATAAATATTGATTCTTATAATGCTCAGTGGTATATATAAATAGTTTTCTTTTCAGAACGTAAAAATTGTAGATTTTTCATATTCTTATTTTTAAACTTGAGGCATTTAAAATCAAAACAACGGCGACGGTGCGTATTGCTGCAACTTATCGCAAGACAGTTGGTCAGTTTGACGTTCTGCGTGAGAGGAAGGGGGGGGGGTCCATTAGCCCCTAATACCCCTTGCCTATCTCACTGCCGTGGCTAGTATGTTTTGATATTCTAAGTGATACGAGACTTCAGTCAATCGTATAGTAACAGCAACAAAAAATACGAGGAGTACGGTAGCATGTGATCAATATAACTATACTCAGTGTCTAACTCGATGACGGCAAAACATTTTTCCGAGGCGGTTGTGGAGGGCGCGTTGTGTAAATGCAATTGGCGTGGTTTAAAAATGGTTACTATCTGATGACGGCAGACAGGCTATAATTTGACAAGCACAGCACGGCTACGGGTTTTTTACAACCATATTTTATTACGTCAAGGGAACGCTATTAAACTATTATATTATTTATCTTTAGTATTGTTTGTTTATTTTTCTCCTATGCTACAACCTGCATACACCAGCGGAGCAATGACTAACTAAAGTATATATATATATATATATTAGTATAGCAACTTAAGGTCACCCACTGTGATAAGACGTAACATATTCCTTTGGACAGCCGCCATTGCCTTTCATAGTGGCGACCCGTTTTTTTTTTTAAAAAAGGTTATTAAAATTACATTAGATAACTACAGTGGCTCATTTTTTTAAAGGACATGTTAAATGTTCCACGTTATCGGAACAACTCCTATATTAGCTCAAGTATCAAACAGACCTAGAGTGGCGCTGATAAAAAAACCACGGGGTCCATTACACGTGGCTTTTTACACCCCTCGTGCCTAGGACGACAGCTAACGAACGTACGGTCGAGGGCTATAAAACATGTGTAAATCACAACAGTTTCAACTAATCTGGGAAGGTATTGCAGAATGGTTGCCTATGGCCTACACTCCACTGCAGCTGTCACCTGACTTGTTTGAGGGATATATTTCAAACAACACGTCACAACATACGCTCACTAGCTTTAACTTTAAGCACGATATACATGCATGATTATCAAACAAAATCTGCCTCTTATTTACATTTTGCATTTTTTATACTTACTGTAGTTTAGATGTACAAATTCATACACTAGTACGTTTTGATCTTAACAACAACTTCAGATATAGAGAAGATATAGTGAACGTGATTATATTAATAATAATTCAACAACTTGATTCTAGACGTGAATTTTTTAAACGCTCACTAATGCCAGTAATAAAAACGATGACAGTCACGTAAAAATTATAAATGGGACAGTAAATATGAGTAATCTACGGTAAAAATTACTACAGTTGGATAATACGTCCTGGGCAGATGAGGCACTATAGCTGGGGGACAGCAACCCATCTAGCTGAGAAAACTAAAATAAAATCAAACAGCTGCTGCCTTGGGTGGACAAAGGCTATAGAAATAAATCCAGAACGAAAAGTAGGCTTTAGTCTGAGCCAACACTAGATATGTTTTTCTAGTTAAATGTACAAAACCCATAGGTCAGGTTCGAGATTGCCTTTCAAACTATTCGAAATAAGCTACAAACAGGATACCATTTAACGGGATACCATTTTGGTTACAATAGGCGAGGAAGAACACAACGTTTACGGTAAATTCTGATAATTTAAGACCCTTCAATATAAAGGGATTTAGACATTTTTAGAGCTTTGCTTTCCATCACACCGTAGAAATGTCCCCTAGCGGGGCTGTTGAAATTAAAAGAAGACATGACCTCACCCGTTAAAGAGTTACACGCGATGAAATAGCTACAAAGACAGTTAATGTAATTCACGCATCATGCTCAGAAAAAAAAATATTGTCTTTTTATTGGAGAAAAAATATTGGGGAGGGGTTCTGAGAAATAAAGAGAGAGTGTGGGAATTGAGTGTTAATATTTTTAATATTAACATTTCAGATCCCTTCATTTTGAGAATTTTGCGAGGAAGCTTAATTAGCCTCACTATTAGCAATTCTTTAAACCACAAATTAGAGAATTAGATTGGTGTAAAAACGTGTGGTGGAGAGTTGACAGAATGCACTGAAAATGTAGCGGTTTAAGTTATTTGCATAGCAGCAGGGGAGCAGAGGGTGGGGCATAGCGATGTGACCATTTGCTTTTTTTCTTTCTCTTTTATTACTTTATTGAATGGATCGTTGTAAAATAAAAATTCACAAAACCCTTAAACATGAAAAAAAAAAAAACGACCAGTTTTCCTGAATATTGATTCCCAATTCTGCGATTTAAAAAAATCCCCATCGTTATTTATAAACAGAACGCCGGTATTTTGTCTTTTTTTGTAAAAAGAGTTTCTATTTTTAATCTTTCTGCAGACCAGTTTTAACCCAATTAATAAACATCAAAGGCTTACCAAGATCATTACCGTATGGAGTCTTTTTTTTACGTCAGTGATTACCAAATACAAATATAATGACTCGCGTGAACGTGTGAAAAACTACCACTTCCGCCTGCCCAAACAGGGTGGCCAATGAAAAGTTCATCAATAAAGCGATTATAGGCAAATAATCTGGGGAGTGCGGCGGTTTTAGCCGGACGACAACACGCTCAGACACACACATGCACACATTCTACACACACAAGCACACATTCTACACACACACAGACACATTCTACACACACACACACACACACATTCTACACACACAAATGCACACACACATGCTACATAAGCACATACAATCTCGTTGCTATAGCACACGTTAACAACAAACCAAATTCAACGAATAAAATATTAAAAGTCGAATTCCGTATGCGTTCTTATGTAAAAGCTTAAAACAACATAGATTTTAAAAACCTGGCTTAAATTAGTTAATATGTTGCGTATCATAAGGCACACGTTTCATGTTAATCGCATATTCCATATTTCCTAACACCTAAGACTAAAATTAATTTTATCTATAATTTAATATCTAAGAAAATAGGTTACTAGATCCAAGTGATATTAAAAGTAAAGATACATATTTCATTTCTTTTTATCAATTATAAATGTTCACTGCTTAACACATCGTGTAAGATTTTAAAACGGATCATACACCTTGTAAAAAGTTGTAAAAAATGTATGGTAAATCTAAAGGACTG